AGATTAATAATTAAAATTGTTATTATTAACATTAATATGAAATAAAATTCTTAGATCAATACATTAGTCATTTTAAAAATAAAATCCATCTAGATAGAGATGCAAAATGGAGAAGCAAACACATCTCCAGCCAAATGGATCATCTAGATGAATAGTTTGATTTTTTGTTTGTTTAGTCATTTAACATTCAAATGAATCATTTAGATAATCCATTTGAATTGACCATCTGGATGGAGATGCAAAATGGAGAAACGAACAGGACCCATATAGCTTAAAGTAGCATAAGAAATCAGCATACCACAGACTGTTTGAGCAAATTTTAACCGGTTTGTACGTGGAAAGTTCTGTTATGAACGAATAGAAGATCTATTTTATTGATTACCGAATCTCTCCCGTGATGTTGATTTTGCAAATGATCTTCGAAGGCAGCTAGGTTAAAGCTCTTAGAGTATACTCAAGTTTTTGACCTCCTCCTCTATTCATTTTAGGGCCTATTAATTCATATGAGCACCTCTATCAAGGGAGGTTATCAAATTTTGGGTATCTAAAATTTCTTCTTAAAAAATAGTTTTTAATAGATGAATATCTCAAATGTTGAGACATCCATCTCAAAGTATCTTAACATTTTGGGATACTCATTTAATTATTTATTTTTCTTTCATTTTCTAGAAGATACTGTATTCTAATTTGATAACCTCCCCAATGGAGATGATCTTATAAGTTTAGTTTTATCTCTTGTATTATTGTATGAAACTAATAAAACTAATCGAAAAATAGAAATGATGTCTTTCTATATATATATATATATATATTTTTTGTTTAATTTTCTAAACACAAGTAAGCTAGTATATCCGCTATACACTGATTTTTTTTAAATACTAATATAAAATTATTAATTAGAATTTTTAATATTGGCCACATTGCAAAATTTATAAGTTGAATATATATATATATATATATATATATATATATATATATATATATATATATATATACACACATCAATATAGAAATTTAAGGTAACAAAAATAAAAACCAATATAATGAAAATATAGTAATATAACTTTATATATATATATATATATATCATTACATTTACTATTTGGTAAAAGTTTAATGTACTTTTTAATTTTTTCTAGAATGAAAAAAACTAAGTTTCTTCATGTGAAGATATGAAAGATTTGTAAGTCTGACCAAAAAATGAAAGGAAATAAATTGTTAGAAAATTAAATAATATCGGAGTGATTTAATGTGACAACAGATTCTGTCAACAATTTCGTGTACTTTTATTTTGTATTTAACTGTCCAAAAATATTTTCAAAGTTTTAATTTTTTTTTGTGAAATAAAATATTTTGATATATTGCCAAAGCATTCATAGAAATCTTATCAATGCACCACAGATTTTGTTTTTAATAGTTTCCATATATAAGTAGATATCTTAACCATTCCATTAAAAGATGGGATGCTAAAATATAAAATTCATATTTATAAAGCCATTTCACAAATATTATGAAAAACAATTTCACAATGGGTGGCTCATCTGCATTTCACATAATATTTAGTGTCACATTCATGGTTATTCTCTTAGGTGGTCTCTGCGAGGCTGTTTTCCATATAGCTGTGGATATCATCAACGACATTGGTCCAAATGTTCAATTGGGACTACATTGCAAATCGAAGAACAAAGATCTCGGATCACAATCTTTAGCCTTTCATCAACATTGGGGATTTAGAGAAGCTATTAACCTTTGGGAAACAACTTTGTTCTATTGTCACTTTGAATGGGGAAGTGAATCTAAATGGTTTGATATTATTGAATTAAAAAGAGATCAATGGTTATGTGAAAATAATCAGTGTGTTTGGAGTATAAGACCTGATGGTCCATGTAGATTAACTGGTCAGGAAAAATGTTACCCATGGCATGCTGTTATTTGAATACCTAATTGTAACCAAATTTCATATTTATAAGCTAAAGAATAAGCATGTACATTTATAAGCTAACGAGATATTTAAATATAAAAGGCATATTTAATGAATTTTCCTTAGGCTTCTAATATGTTGGATCTGCCCTGTGCATGTATATACATGTAAAAGAAAACTTCTTTCTTGTAGAAAAATCACAAGTCGTAAACAACATACATTATATTTTCCTCAACGAACTACTCAAATTAGCCTAAACTAGTTTAGTTTCAAATCTTTTTAATTTTGGTTGCTATTGTTCTTTATCATTTCTCCATGTATCATCCATCATCAGTAACAATGTTTCAGTTTCCATTGAAAACCTCAAAGATGATGATATGATATACTTGCAATCTCAGACTTCTCAAATGTTCGAAGATTGGTAACAATGCAAACGTGTCAAATGAAATAATGTATAGAATAGAATGACAAAAGCATCCACCGAATAAAATATTCTTACCGACTTCAGATTAAGCCCGACAACCTTTTTTTATCGGGTCGAGACAAAAACACCAAGCAGTTGAAAGCGACGTAGAGGCTCTGCCAAGACCACTTTAATACCTCAGTGCATTCCGCTTTTGTAATATTCAGAACGTGGTCCAATGAGACTAACATTCCCACTTATACATCTATAATTATGTTTGTTGATTAATAGTGTAAGAGAATGGATTCAAGAAAGTGAAGACACTGTAGACAAAGGTAATAACAAAAAGGGGTAGATGAAGTTAACTAACAACATGTGTAGAGAAAAATTGAGCCACTGTAATCATTGAAGCAATAAACAATTATATAGCTACGTCCATAGACTACCACCCAAAACGGAAAAAAAACTCCAGGATACAAATGATGCACAGTCCAATGTGTATATGTCAATATTTTAAAATTGTTAGTGCTTGTTTGGGGACAATCGCATAATCATAACAATATATAGAAAAACAAAGAGAGAGAAGAAACTTACAGAAAGACATATGAAGTTGGCTGCAATCTTCTTAGCTTTCTCTGTCGTATTCTCCCTTCTTCCAATTCACCTTTCGCAAGGTCTTCTTTATCGTTCTACTGAGATTACAGTTTTTGCTCATAGATCTCCGGTCAACTCAAAACAACGTCGTTTAATTCTTCTTTTCGCTTGATGAATTTAGGTGAAGCTGCTGGGGAGAGAAGGCAGTGGTGCCCATCAAAACAACAAGTGTTCAGAGGTTCATGCTCAGATGATGGAGGACAAAAATGTCTAAATGACTTATTATGGACATGGAATCCAAGTGTAAGGCTCAGCCCTGTCTACTGCGATTGTACTCCTAAACGTCACAACAAGCGTCTCTGTGATTGTCCTAGTATGATTTGCCTCTAAAAAAAGTCTATTTAAGAATTTAAACTCTTGTTCTATCTTTCTATGTATCATTAATAATGTTTCAGTTATCCGAATATAATATACTGTTGCTCAAAATAAATGCGGAAACAAGTTTTGTTTTCGGTACCAGTGTGTTGTCCTTGTGTAGTTTCCTTGCATCATAGTATTTTTCCTTACATATTCAAGAACTTGGGTTGGATGATGGAGGATGTTGTCGCGCTAGATAAGGGACTTCAGACACTATCCCAGAAATATCTTCACCTATAGTCACTGTGTTTCCAACTGAAGCTGCTTTTTTCTTGATGTAGCCTAACCCGAAATGGCCAGACCCGTTTTTCCCCGTAGTGTAGCTTGTTAGTTTCCCCACCTGAAAATTTATAAACTAGTTAAGGAATAGTTGAGCAAAATTTGGCTTTCCTATATTTTTTGAGCTACTACTCAATCCACACAAACGCTCAAAACCTTTTTCCCGTCAGCTGTGATGGCGCTGCCGGGTCCCGCTGGAGCAGAGAGATTAAGTCCACATAACATTTGCTTGATTCCATCATAAGTTATGAGTCTTGCTATTGTCTCCTGTCCCTTATAACATCCTGACATGTTTCAAGATTGTTTAATCAAGGGGTTTCTTGTATTGTTTTAGCTCACTGAACAAAAGCTTCTTAAATACCTTTGTTCAGAGAGATTGAGTTCCATAGACCTGCCTCCAAAACATTAAAATCCTTGCTGAGCTCTCTCTCAGGTGCTGGTCTTCCTGCAAAACATCAATGCTATTGGCCTGAGAAACATAATATTTTCTCTGCTTAGTCACTAAATCAATGGTTCTGTAAGATCCAACAATTCTGATTAGGTGATGCAAGATCTGAGAGCATACTTACGAGCTTCTTGCCTTTATTAGGTGAATAACGAACAATCATGCCTTTTAGTAGGACTAGTGGCCACAACTCATGACATTAAATTTTGTAGGTTAACAGGGGTGATAGTTGTGTCAGTGGTGCAAAATCACATTGGGAAACTGATGGCACCAACATTTAGACAATAATTTTACTAACCTTGAGTAATTCTAAGTTTCTCCCAGGCTACAGAACCCATAGGAATGGCACCTTCAGCTAAAAGAGTCTTCCAGACTGAAACAGCACCCCCTGGTGACATTAACATGGTAAAGCCTTCGTCTGAAATAAGACTTCCGACCCCAACAGTTATTGGCATTCCATCAAACTGACAAAGAAAGGAGTTTGTTACTATAAGTCGTTACATAAGATCTGTTTCCGTATTACAAAAAAGGCTTACACTATAATGTTGATGCTTGCCATATGGTTGCCCAATAAGATCTCCCAGATTCAGTTTAGACATGATCTGTTTCAATTTTTTTACAGTAGCATAAAAACAATGTATTTGAACTACCATAAAGAGAACATATTACAACGATTTGTCAGTCTGCTTAAAAAAAATCTTACTTGATTGCTTTTGGGTCCTACTAAAGCAAGTAAGCAAGTTTGCTTGGTGATGTCCTTGATCTCTACCTTGTCAGCAAAAAATATGTACCTGAGAAGGCGAAGATGAGAAGATGTCATTGTTCTCCGATGAAGCCTGATTTTCAAAGAAACCATGAAACTTTTGTATGTGAGCAAGGATGAAAGTTTTAACATACTTGTCCAGCATCTCAATTATACTTTGGCATGTCGTTGGAGAAACCGTTAGCAGTATTGCATTTTTCTGAAAAGAAATAAAGAGTCGGTTAAACAGAGAAATTGCATATGAAATATATATGAGCCACTAAAAGTGAACATAAGGAAGGAGCATTATTACCATGATCCAGGCATGTGCAATATCTATCGTTCGAGCAGTTGGGGTGACGAATACAGTGTCACATCCCTTCAAAAACACCAGATAGATCCACAATTACCAACCACAGAGACAACAATTTACACTCAATGCAAATATCCTTACAAAGACTCACCTGTCCTTCACTAAGGCTTTCAAAATTTGCGGTAGTTTGGTTATGAAGGAAATGAGCTCGGTCATCTCCGCTAACTTAGAGGCAAAAGACGTAGCAAAGAGTTAAAACAACAAACATTAAGCAGTAACATAGGCAGAATCAAAGCAAACCAGCTTCATATCGGAAAAAGCACGATAAGACAAGAGATGAATACGGATATACCTCGTATCCTCCCAAAATGTGAGAGGTCCACAACCTAGAAATCAAGTTTTAGTCAAACAAAAATCATAACGTAAACAGCCAAAGAGCTTCAAAAGTTAAGTTATATACCGCCACTCCATTATCAAATGCATCTAAAGCCTCATCGTCGTTATCAAAACTCTCAACAACGCCATCTTCTGAGACTTTCCCTCCCGCAACAGTAATCGTATCCTTCACAAGTCCATAAACAATTCATTAGCATGATTACACTTATCAGAGACAGCCAATTCACAAGAAACATAATAAAGGCAAAACCAAAACCCAAAACTTATTACTAATTTCTCGAAAACTCTTCGAACAATACATTCCAATAACTGTTTCATAGAGATGGAGTCTTAACACTTTTCTAGTCAGTCAATTGTAATTTGAAGCTGCGGAGAAGTGAAGCTTACATGGAGATCGTGGTCAATCGGAGGCGGCGAGAAATCGAACTGCAACGAATCGGAAGAAGCAGAGACGCATCGGAACTGAAACTTTCGTTCTCGGAAACCACTATTTCGGAGACTAAGGGAGCGGCGGCGAAGAACTGTTGCGTTGTAAAGACATGGAAGCAGAGCAGTATTGGTGATGTGGCTAACGCAATCTATCCTCATCATCGCCATGTCCGTACAACTCTTGAGAAGGTTCATATGTAAATAAAATTTAAATAACTTGCGAAAACTATTATTATCGCATACATATAAATACTGCAGTGTCATATCGATTACCAACTTTTTCATTGTAAATTCATATTTTTCATACTTTTTTCATTGTAATTTTTTTTTTTTCATTGTAGTAAAGCAAAGTGAAGTCTACTCTTTCCAGAAATTAAAACCAAGGAATCAATGTCATATACATTGCTTTTACCAACTTTTTATCTTTTCCCCGTTTTTTACCAAATTTTTGTTTACCTTGTTTAAATATCCCAAAAGCTTGTCTCTCTGACTATACAAGCAAACAAGGAACAAAAATGAAAACAGAGGCCAAAAAGAAAATACAAATATACAAAAGCAAACAAAGGAATCAACTTTAGTCAACTATTAGAGGATCATGATGAGGGTTTTGAGTCGAAGTAGTAGTAGTATCTGCAAACACTTGAGCTTCATTTTCATCTCTCACATCTCTAAACATCGAAAGAAACGAGTTTAGTCCTTCTGATGAAGCACCGCCTAAAATCCAGAGTAGCATGGAGCTGAAAGAGCTCATAGCCCCTGCTTGTTGTGGGTTAGGCTCTGCAGGGATGGTGTTTGCTGCATTCTCTTCTTGCTGTTGTTGATGTTGAGTTGGGTTCTCGACTCCTCCTCCATCCGCTGTTGGAGATCTTGCTTCCGTGTTTTGGTTTGTGTTGTTTGGACCAGATGGTGCTCGGTTTCTTGTTGTTCTGTTCAGCCTTGTGATGTGAAGAGTTGACGCTAGGATTGTTGAGGAAGTGATGTGGAAGTCTGGGTGTTGCTGAAGGTGTGACTGTCGGCTTTGGAGGAATCTATGAAGAGCTGGTACCTGTGATTTTGTGTTTAGTTTTGAGATAAAAACTTGTAATTGAAGCTTAGATCCTCTGGATCTGGCCAATCTTCGAGTTGTTGGAATCAAATGCTTACCTCAAAACGGTTCCAGAAGTATAGAATTAAGTGTTGCATGAATGCAGCAGTTGTCATTAGGGCGAGATAAGAAAAACCTGTTGAGAGTTGTGCAGTAAGTGAATACGTCTGAACTTTCCGTACTTAATGAGACAAATATAAAGGTTAAAACCTAAGTTCTTACCATATGCATACGAGAAGAAATAAATATGGAACACCAAGAAGTATAGTAAGAAGAAACGCGGGAAGAACTTCATCGATATTGGTGTCCTGACACTGCAAGGATTAGACTTTGTTACTATACCATCCAACAGGTAAAACAATAAACTTTAAAGTTGGCAGCGAGGTCATTGCAAACAGAACAGGAGAGCTTGATAGTGGGAAATACAAGTGACTGAGGCAAAAGAAAGAAGAGACCAAAACCTTATCAGGGTAAATAATTCGCATAGCCAGACAAGAACTAGGACCATGAAAGCCAATAGCTGATCGTCATAAAACTCAAACAGGAAGAAAAGAATCCCAATCATAATCTGCAAAATTTGAAATAGTCATATTATGTCGGTCAAGAGAATCCTCTGAAATATTGGAACGAAAAAGAACTAGGGAACTGTATGCATACCGGTACAAAGACAAGCGATTCAATCACGTGAACGAAGATCAACTGAAATGTTGGTAACCGATGCTGGGCATGGTGTTGAAGCTGCACTGCAACAAATTGATATCGAAACAAATATGATTGTTGAGAAGCGAATATGAGAAGCCATCAGCTATTGGCCTAGAAGAAAGACAAACCTGTGAACTTCAACATGCGAGTTTGTGTCTCTCGCAGTGTGAATGACACAGACATTGTGGTTGTGAAAAACACAAAAAGTGACATCATAAGCACACCACATTTCGTCACCAAGTAATCTGCATACACCCGGGATAATAATATAGCTCAATAATTTATAGCAAATGCTTACACTGAACTACAGATAAAGAAAGTTTCAAGAGCTAATAAAGCAGCCTTAGTGAGACCTTCCAGTCTGATTGGCACTCATACTCAATACTTGCGACATGCAGGGGAAATTTTTAAACATATGTTGTTCACGAGACAGAACATGACAAACCTCCGAATTGCGCAGAACCTTCAGGAAGTTCTTGGGAGTAACTAAGATTGTAAAATTCTCTTGTCTGGTAGTTGTATAGATAACCTGTCACGGAGGAAGTTGGCAGTCAAATAAAGTGCAAACAGAAGCTTTCACAACAGCACATAGATATAAACAATTAAAGGGACATGAGCATTAGGCAACAACAGATGGAAATCAAGTAATAGCTACCAACAATAACACTGGTTATTTTACATTTTGCATAGTGACTATGCATGAACCAATTGATAACAGCAAACTAATCTCCGACTAGAATTCCTAGAGGGCAACTTAATTTAAAGTAACAATAAAAGATAATCAGACAACCTCTGTTTAGTGGTTCTAGTCAGCAAACAAATTTAAAGTGGCATTAAAATGCCTGTGACCTTTCAGAAAGAAACAGTTGGACACAAGATACAAAAACAAAGACAAACATATAGTTGAGGAATCACAGGCCTTGAAGGAAGAGACCCACAAATAGTAAACTTTGCATGGACATTGTTAACAAGACAAACAGCTAAAACCTACCTTGACCAGCAGAGTTCTGTAAGCTATTCATTAGAATAGTATCATATCCTACAACTCTGTTTATAAGAAGTTGCTGCCACCTGCAAAAGTAATTCAATTTTAAGAAGCTTAACATTAGGATACAGCCCTACCACTTCAATTAGTTGTTTCCAAACTGAGGGCCAATAACATGAATATTACCTGTTGCCAAAGCAAGGGTGGCGTGCCGATATGCTGACATTTGCAGTGCGAATGTTATGCCGTGACTTGGCTTCATCAGGCAGCAAAAAGTAACCCTATATGGAAAAAGACCCAAAGCAATTCTAAGACCGAACCAGAATTCAACTGAAGAATTTCTGATTTTTCACATCTTCCTTAATATGCCAAGCATTTTTCACTAATCATCTTTAAATTCTCGCGAGCGCATAATACCTTTTCCATGGTATATAGATATGTTGGCTCAAACTCTTGAGTTCTTCTCTCAAGCCATTGAACTGAAAAAAAATCAACAAACAAACTAAAACATAGAAGTTCATGCAGACATCTACCCACGGACCCCACCCAAAGGCCAAAGCAGAGCAAAAAGGCATGTGATTTTACTCGTCTAATAACTAACCCTCTTGAATGAAAAATCATAGAAAAGTTATTAAGACGGGCCCATAACAGAATTTTTAATTAGTAGCTTGCATATCTCAAAACGAAAAATGCTTTTTACAAGGAAGTGTATGTATACAAATTCAATTTTACATCTGTGTACAGTCAACATAGTTTTACATTTGTGTACAGTCAATGTAAAAATAGTCTGACAGTGATAGGTTACTTCAGATGATGAAGAACACAACCAGCCAAAATATAAAATAGAGTGGCTTTTACCTGCATAGTAGTTGACTCTATCCATGTACAGTACATGCAACAATTTGGGCACATCAAGATTCAATGGTACGCCTATGATGTTCTGCATTTAAATTTTAGTAAGAATACAAATAATCAGGATCGCGGCTCATCAGATGACTTAGTACTGTGGCACCAAAATAAATATATTCTTAAAGAGCTAACTTGGTAGCTAAACCGAAATCCACTTTCCTCACAAAATAAAGGGAGAAACTACTGAAATATCTAAACACCCTAACCATTGAGTCACATACCACTTCAACTTTTCAGTAACGTATATTTCCGATCAAAAGAATGCAGCTTAAGAACCATGCTTTATAAAGGATATACCAAAAACATCAAACAGAAAGAGCAGATACAACGTCTGTATATGAGAGCCACAAGCACTATCTAAGTCAGGATGAGAAACATAGGAAATGAAAAAAAGAGGCATTGTAGCATATTCTAAGTCACTTTAAAAGACAACTCACCCATATTTTTCTGACACCTCTGAGAATCCGTGCTGTATGCTGTAAAACAAAAGAAATGCGCCTATAACACTTTTTGAGAAAGCGAAGAATAACTGCTCTGACAGTCTCTTTTGCAGACACTGAGAAACTACTGCGGGGTTCTTCTTTATCAACTTTAACAACTATCTCATCGGCGTTCTCTTCACTGGTAGAGCTTTCTGCATGATTATAAAAAAAGGCAGTATCAGTCCCTGCAAACTTCAAAGATATTGGTCTCCTACATGCAGTCTAGCCAAACCAATTCAACACAGCCTAATCCTGAACATAAACAAATTACCTTGATCAGTCTTTGACACTTCCAAACTATCAGTTGTAGCCACGACTTGAGGAACATCTACAGCAGTACTTTCATCATTACGTGACCACAACCCTGCACTTGTTATCTATATCACAGAAATTAGTTGTTTAGACAATCAAGATTTAAATTTTATTTGTTTATGGTGAACTGATTTCAAGAAAGAGCCTATCAAAGTATTTGTAGCCTAAGTCTTTAAATGAGCGAGGAGCAAGCTCATGGGCCTGGGAAATCTAGAAATTATCACTAGTTACACAAGCTACCATCAAAGGGATTAGCTACATACCTTAATTTGCATAAGCTCTGCTTCAGTTAACTCAACTCCAGTCAGTTCACTTGAACAACCAGGCTTTCCAAGGAAAAAAAGATTAACGAAATAAGTAAAAGACAAAACAATAAATGTCAAATAAGATAAGATTAGGAGAGACTGGCATTAGAAAAATCTTAGGAAGGCTACACAAAATTCATGAAGTCAAAGACAATTAAACCAACACAAATCTTCATGTATATACATATATATATATATATATTTTACAAGACTAATGCTACTCGTATTTCATTTCAACAGGTACAAACAGTAGACTCCTAACTAAGCATCATCCCAACATCTTCTATAGCTTCAGCTCAATAATTTTCAAATATCTCATACTTAAAATTTCAACTATGAAGTCCTTAAACAGTATAAAGGACCTAAACCTCTTCGGTAAAACCACATTAACCTTCTCCACAAATTGGCTAATCCTAAAGCTATATTTTCAACAAGCAAACCTTTCTGGCATAATCGGCTAGATTATCGAATCGTTCTGCACTTACAACAAACCAAAAAAAAGAGTGAGTCAAAATTACCTGCTGAACATAATTGGCGTGCATAACAACGAGGATACAGAACAAAGTGATCGCAACGCAGAGGTAAGTATACTCTAAGAAACCTCTAATCCTAGGCGTTAAGATCTGCGAAAACCTCTCCTGAACCCTAATAAACGTCTGCTCCGGATCCATAACTTCGGATCTCCGATGCACTTCTTCCGTCTTCTTCTTCTTCACGAAACTATCTCTCTGCTTATTATACTTAAGGAGTTCGTCGACATCGGCTTTCGAATTGTGCGAAGGATCGTCGTTTTCTTTTTGGGAGGAGATTACAGAATCATTCCGTAATCCTCAGAGATTGAAGAAGATTGCAAAAGCACCGCGAATGAAATTTTATTATTCACATTTTTTTACCTTTTTATATTACATATTTGTAATTATGGTAAAGCAAACGTAATGGTCTAGTGGTGCGTTTATTTTTATTTTTTATTTTGCTTTCGAGGACATGAGTTCGATCTCTCCCACGTCAATGTAAAATTTATAACATTTTGCAATTTTAATACAATCACATTAGACAGGTGAAAAAATAATATACAATCACATTAGTATCGAATAGTATCTACCCGAGTCTTTTAACCATTTGAAGAGGACATGTGGTCATTACTATCTCTCTACCTTATAATTTAGCTTCAATCAGAGTTGCCTTTGACCTTTAGAGGCTTGGTAGAAACGCATCAAACGACACCATGTATTCATGAAACTGCAAACATCAAAAACAAGGCTCAGTATTTACATTATTACATGTCTTATAAAGAATCCGTAAGAAGCCTAGTGTGGGTTTAGCTTTGGAAATCTTTTATTCGACTAGTTGTATAGTTGTATACTTGTATTCATGGTTAAATATATTAACTGTTATAACTCGAAAGTTCAGATCAGGGAATTGACATATTTTAACCGTCTATTTTCATGTTCTTCAATATACAGTAGATCTGCCTTAACTTGACCGAATTCACGGGGCTATTCAGGTGAAAATAATAGATACGAAAGAAACCTGCTTCACGATCTCTTCATATTTAGTGGCTAACTGTTTCACTTTAGCTTCTCCTGACTCTCTCACTTGCTTAATCTTGGCGGTATTGTCATCAACCTGTAGAAAAAACAAACTTATGGTGATGATAAAGCATCGTGCGCAACAGATTCATATCGTTAGATGTTTAAAAGCAAGGGAGTATTACCACAGCTACTACTGATTCAACATCCGTTTGCCTGGCTTCAAGTTCACGTCTTCTGGATTCAACCTCCACTTTTAGTTTATCCAATTGTTTTGTCCAATCATCAAACATGACTGCTTTTTCTTTCTCTAGTTGTTCCAATGATTCATTCAACTGTTCCACTGTTGAGATAATAGAAACTTACAGCCTCCGTCCCAAAACAAATTTATGAAACCATATCTAAAGAGGAAAGAAATAAAGCAGGACTCGCCTATTCTCTCCCGCTCAACCACTTTCGCCTCAAGTGATTTGTACGCCACTCCATCCTCGCTCAGCTTAGCTTTAAGAGTTTTGAATTCTTTCTCAACAGCTTTCGCATTGGTAACCTGTAGCATCAATAAACACACAGAAAGATAAATCCAAAGACACATTACATGATATTCCGACAATTAGATGGGTCCGTCTGCTGCCACATATACAATACATGGTTCATAATCTACAAGCAATGAAAGAGGAAGTATTCTTTTTGCTTGGTCACCTGCTCGTTAATTAAATGCAGTTGCGAAGATGACTTTGAAATTTTCTTGAAGGCCTGCAAAAGGCACCCATAGTTGAATTAACTTTATTACTCATAAAATAATATATATGAAAGCACAAAACTTTTGTAAGACTAAACATAAAATTCTGAAGTAACAACAGAGAATAAGAATTCAATCTACATTACCCCTACCTTCGATTCATTCTTCCTAAAGCTCCTGGACAGAATTCCATGAAGTATGAGCAAAAGCAATAAATCAATAAACACCTAAGACTTGAAATCCTTTTCTCTAACTAAATGGTTTCAGAGCAGTGACCATCATGTTGCAAAGGATGTCTTAAATGCAGTTAGCTACGTGCTAATCAATAGGATATAGAAAAAATACCTTTTCATAAACCTCAAGAATGGCAGCCTTTTCCTGGAAAGTTTCCATTGCTGATTGCCCAGCTTTCTTTGTTTCCCCAAGAACTAGTTTCTTCTCTTCTAAAGCTCCCTGTCTCCACATCAAGCGTTTAAATCAGTGTATACACAAAATTTAATCATAGGGCTAATAGTAGTAGGAACAAAAATATACCTGCAATTTGTCTGGAGATTGAACAATTTGTGAGCGGAGGTTTGCATTTTCTTGGACAGTTTGCACAAGATCAAACTCTGCTTTGGAAATCTGTAGAGAGAAATACACATATCAGGGGCATACAACACCTCTCAGATAGAAGCGCAAATCGCCTAATTGACACACAAGATATGTTTCTACATCAACTGGATCAAGGCAACTTCAACTCCACATCGTGGTGTTTCTTACCTCGTTATCCATCTGTGTACTCTTCTCTCTCATTTCTTGGAAAGTAGCTCGCAGTGACATCTGCTGGTTATTCAGTCCTAATATTTTCTGATTGAGTTCTTCAATGTTGGCTTCTAGCTCTTGGACAAAGGGAAAATCCCTTTCAACGGCTTCATCAAATTCTCCAATCTCTGCATTCAACTGCACGGATAGCGCCATTATAAAAGATACTGATCATCGATGTGATACATATATTTCTTGCATTACCTGGGAAACCTTTGCCTCCCACTGCTTCCGCTGCTCATCAAGGAGAGTCAACTCCTCTGCCATTGGTCTTATTTCTTCCATTTTTGAAACTCTGGTTCAAAAAAAACGATGCGAATAATCATGAGAGCATCAAATATGAAGCTCCAGTACAAGAAAGAAGATGTAAATAAACAGGAATTCGCTAAATTATAGAGAACTTGTAAAATAAGGTAGGGAAAGAGCAAAATATGTATCCTCATCTTGAATGCTTTACTAAACTTTCTGCACTTTGAAAACTCCTAAAAGCAATCTGAAATCCATATATTTGTAATCTTGTTTACTATCTCTAACAAGCGAGACATATACGAACTGATCTTCTTGAAGTAGAAACCTGGTTAAAAGAACTCTCTAGTTTTAATTCTTGGTAGACACATACTAGAGAAACTACAGAGAACTCAGCTAACTTTACTTTCCAGCAGTATAAGCTTAAACTAGGAGCATGAAAAAAGATTAGAAGCAAGAAGGAAAAACCTGTGTAGACCATAATTCAAAAGTGCGCTGATGAAAAACTTTGTTCGGGCTGGTTCGGGGCGTAACAGATCCTTGTAATTCATGTCTTCTGGACAATCCAACATTTCTAGCATATCTTTAACTTTACAATACAGATTCATAGATTGCACTGAGGTGACATGATGATCTGGATTCTCCAATTGCTGCAAAGCCTCAAAATCAACCTGCCCTTTCTCTTCTCTACAGTGGATTTTGTAAATTTGGAAAACCCCAATGTCAAAAAAGACAATTCATCAGAAACTCCCAAATTGAATGAACGCAATTCAAAATCGACGAGTAAAGAGGTTTGAATGAAGTACATACTCGTTGAGGGCGTCGAGATAAATAAGAATTCTGGTGTAAAGCTCGGAGACGAACTCGGGACTAGGGTTTTTGAGATCGGCTTCAGTAATGCTAACGATCTGAGCCTCCTTGAGGGCAGTGACGATTTCGGGAGGAGAGAATCTCGGATACTCGTAAGCAGACATAGTTAAAATCAGTTTCGATATATTTTGCTTTTTTGTTGTGTATTGATTTCGAATTCGATAATTAACGAAAGAAGAGTTTGTAAAGGTCGCAGTGACAAACGAAGGAGCGTAACGAGGAGACAAACAAAAAAATAAACACGGAAGGGAGTATTTTAAAATTTGAATTTTAAACTAATGGGCCTTATTGGGCTGGGCTTTTAATTTTTAACCGTTGAGGAAAACAAACGTCGCCGACTAACAAACTCACTTTGAACCGTGGAACATTTAGAACCGTACGATGTTTAAGATCAACGGTCATTTTGAATATAAATGTATCCGTTAGAGATTGCATTAAACCATTCCCGATATATATGTATTTTATAGACATTTTTTGTTTTCTCTCAAAAATATCTCTCTGTTTTTTCTTTGGTCACGAAATTTCTCTCTTCTTCTTCCTTAACTTTTTTTTTTTTTTTTGAACAAACTTATTACTTTTTCTTCTGAAGACGAAGAAGAAGGATTCAATTAATCTGAAGGTTAGGTATGTATTTCGATCTCTTTGTACCGCTAAATTTGTTTTAGGATTGAGAATTTTTGTGTAATCGTTCTTGTATATGTTGTATTGATCTATCTAGGGTTTTGGTGATTTTGGTTAGATTCGGATCGGTTGGGGCTTTGTCTCCTTCGTGGTGATTAAATTTGGTTAGGTTTCTTCTTCCTCGTAAGTTTCTTTCTCTGATCCTCTTTGTGAGTTTTTTTAGGGTTTCGAAATTTACTAATCCTTTTCTGTTTCTTTAACTTTTGTTTTAGGGATTATCTTTCGAATCTAACCCAGGAAGCGTGTCTCCCCTTCGTCAAGGTATTTCTCTCTCTCTATCTTTCCCGTTTTGTTTTGTTTTTGTTTTCGATTTTGTGTGTTTTCAATTTTTTGTTTTTTAGAAATCGAACCAGTTGAAGTGTAGAACTGATTCAGTCCACCGATCTGGTCAGATTTATTGTTTTTGTATTTAAGCGATTAGCTTTCGTTGTATTTTTGTGATTTTGGGATCAAGATTTCAGTTTTGGTTTTCGTTATCTTGATCCAATAACCAAAAAAAAAATCCTCTCTTTAAACAGAATTCAAAGCCTTTTCTGCTTATTGCTACTTGTTCTGCGAATTCTTGTGTTTTGAGGATTTAGTTTTTGATGTTTTTGTTTTGTTTTGTTTTGTCAAAACCCAAAACAGATCATGGGTTTGATGATTTAAGTTTTTTGATGTTTTCGTTTTCGTTTTGTTTTGTTTTTACAAAACCCAAAACAGATCATGGGTTTGATGATATTAGTTTTTTTGACGTTTTCGTTTTCGTTTTTTGTTTTGTTTTTGTTTTGTTTTGTTTTTTCAAAACCCAAAACAGATCATGGGCAGACATTAATCTAATAATGTTCTGTCAGATTCTATTTTGGGGACATTGTCCCGACCAGAGTTGTGAACTATGGGATTGGTAGTGCATGCATTGTTGCGAGTTGGAAAAGGGGTTTCGATTTGTTGGATGGGAATGAACCTACGGGTTAATAAGTCTTAAGACAAAGACATAATAGAACCAAAGAGTTCTCACAGATTGGTACCCTCGGCTTGGAAAAACTAAAAGAGCAATGAGACATAAGACAAAGACAAAGAGTCAAGAGACTATGGATGGGTTGGTAGTGCATGCATTGTTACGAGTTGTTGGCTGGGAATGAAAAGAAAAGAGAACCTTGATTATTGGGTTGGTAGTGCATGCATTGTTACGAGTTGTTGGCTGGGAATGAACCTACGGGCTAGAAACATAAAAGAACCTAATATTGTGGATAGGAATGAAAAGAAAAAGGGATCCTTGATGATTGGCTTGGTAGTGCATGCATTGTTGCGAGTTGGGAAAGGGTTTTCGATTTGTTGGCTGGGAATGAAAAGAAAAGGGATCCTTGATTTTTGGCTTGGTAGTGCATGCATTGTTGTTGGATTGGAAAAGTTAAAAGAGCTATGGCTTAATGAGACATAAGACAAAGAAAAAGGGTAAAAAGACTATGGATGTGACTTGTTGGATTGGTAAAACCGACCAGCAAAGAGAAGAAGCTTTAAGAGAAAGTGTCTAAAGATTGTGGATGGGAATGAAAAGATAAGAGAGCCTTGATTATTGGGTTGGTAGTGCATGCATTGTTGGGAGCTTTTAGCTGGGAAAGAACCTACGGGTTAGTAACATAAAAGAACCTAAGACTATGGCTGGGAATGTAAAGAAAAGGGATCCTTGATTATTGGGTTGGTAGTGCATGCATTGTTGTTAGATTGGAAAAGTTAAAAGAGCTATGGCTTAATGAGACATAAGTGAAAAGATAAGAGAGCCTTGATTATTGGGTTGGTAGTACATGCATTGTTGCGAGATTTTAGCTGGGAAAGAACCTACGGGTTAGTAACATAAAAGAACCTAAGACTGTGGCTGGGAATGTAAAGAAAAGGGATCCTTGATTATTGGCTCGGTAGTGCATGCATTGTTGCGAGCTTTTAGCTGGGAAAGAACCTACGGGTTAGTAACATAAAAGAACCCAAGACTATGGCTGGGAATGTAAAGAAAAGGGATCCTTGATTATTGGGTTGGTAGTGCATGCATTGTTGTTGGATTGGAAAAGTTAAAAGAGCTATGGCTTAATGAGACATACGACAAAGGAAAGACTATGGTAGCGACTTGTTGGATTGGTAAAACCGACCAGCAGAGAGAAGAAGCCTTAAGAGGAAGTGTCTAAAGATTGTGGATGGGAATGAAAAGATAAGAGAGCCTTGATTATTGGGTTGGTATGGTAGTGCATGCATTGTTGGGAGCTTTTAGCTGGGAAAGAACCTACGGGTTAGTAACATAAAAGAACCTAAGACTATGGCTGGGAATGAAAAGAAAAGGGATCCTTGATTATTGGCTTGGTAGTGCATGCATTTTTGCGAGTTGGGAAAGGGTTTCGAATTGTTGGCTGGGAATGAACCTACGGGCTAGTACTAGAAAAGAACCTAAGAGTTCTCACAGTTTGGTACCCTCGGCTTGGAAAAAATAAAAGAGCTACGGCTTAATGAGACATAAGACAGACAAAGAGTCGAAAGACTATGGATGTGACATGTTGGATGGTAAAAACGACCAGCAGAGAAAAGAATGACTTGTTGGATTGGTAAAAACGACCAGCAGAGAAAAGAGGCCTGAAGAGAAAGCAGTGAACTTAAAAGACAAAGAGTCGAAAGACTATGGATGTGACATGTTGGATGGTAAAAACGACCAGCAGAGAAAAAGAATGACTTGTTGGATTGGTAAAACACGACCAGCAGAGATAAGAGGCCTGAAGAGAAGGCAGTGAACTTAAAAGACAAAGAGTCGAAAGACTATGGATGTGACATGTTGGATGGTAAAAACGACCAGCAGAGAAAAAGAATGACTTGTTGGATTGGTAAAACACGACCAGCAGAGATAAGAGGCCTGAAGAGAAGGCAGTGAACTTAAAAGACAAAGAGTCGAAAGATTATGGATGTGACATGTTGGATGGACAAAAACGACCAGCAGAGAAAAGAAGGAGTTGTTGGACTGGTAAAAACGACCAGCAGAGAAAAGAGGCCTGGGAGAGAAAGCAGTGTACTTAAAAAGACAAAGAGTCGAAAAGACTATGGATGTGACATGTTGGATGGTAAAAACGACCAGCAGAGAAAAGAATGACTTGTTGGATTGGTAAAACACGACCAGCAGAGAAAAGAGGCCTGAATAGAAGGCAGTGAACTTAAAAGACAAAGTGTCGAAAGACTATGGATGTGACTTGTTGGATGGTAAGAACGACCAGCAGAGAAAAGAATGACTTGTTGGATTTGGTAAAAACGACCAACAGAGAAAAGAAGCCTTAAGAGAAGACAATGAAAAGATTATAGACGAACGTCTTTGGAAAGTTGTAAGACATAGATACTTGAAAAAAGAGGTAAGTATAGGGCATTTACTTAGTATGAAAGACTAACGAATTCTGTTTTCCTCAGGTATGTGCTTCTGGAGAAGTTCAGATATTAAGACTTTCAGAAGATTCAAGTGTTGCATACTTCTTTGACAGGTAGATGCTATTCTAACCTTCTTGTTTTTCTTTTTATTTGCTTTGCAAACTTGTTTGTATATGAAAATCACAATTGAGGTATATTCTTATCTCGACTTCTCAGGTTAATTTTCCCACTGATGCAAAGGATCAGGTATATGCTTATCTTGGCTTCTCTTTAATAAAATCACAGATGTACGCACCTTATATAATTAAAATTGTTTTATTATGTTAGCTGTCTTAATATCATTACTATCCTTGATCTATCCATCTAATTCTAGAAACTTATTGCTAAGATATCATTGATAAAAAATGGTGATCTTGGTTTGCGTATTGAACATTACCTTATATTGTGTGTTTGAATTTTTTAATTCTCTCTGTTTCTCAGTGTATGCTTGTATGTTATTAGAATGTCTCTTCTTTTATATCATGGATGCATCTTCGAGTCTCTGAAGATATTTATTTTGACAATAGCTGTGACTTCTGCAGATTATGATTGTACTTTTCTTGTATCTTGAGAGTCTTTGTTTTAGTCTAAGCCTTTGGTGATTGTGTTTGACATGTGAATTTCATCCTACAATTCTGCATTCATACACTGAGAAAAGGTAGAGTTTACTTTGGCTGTGGAAACATTACATTGTGTGATTATTAAAATTCTTATTATCTCTGCTTTGGTGTTTGTGTGTATTTTTACACATTATGGTAAATAGTATTTTTGAATCTCGAATGTATTTGTCTTGGGTTATGCTATAAACCCATAGTGATTGCTTTTTCTTAACTTTGAAGCATGTGAAACGACATTGTGGAATGATGCATTATCAGCTAATGATTATTTGCACCTCTTGGCTTGAGTCTTTACTATACCACTAACTGTATTTATCATAAGGTGTCTTGTTTTATGAAAATTATGATAGTATTTGCCTTGAATCATGACTAGACGTGTTTTGTGTTATGCTTTGTATCCATGGTGATTGATTTGGTGATTGATTCAAACATGTGAAATAACTTTGTCAAATTTTGCATCATAGATTGATGATTAGTGTGCTAGATTTTGCAACTTGTGCTTGCTGGCTTGATCTTTTTTCAAAATAATGATTGAACTGGTATTCCACTACTACTGCATATTCTTTGGTCTCTTAGAGTCGATAGAAACATGATTCTCTATTGAATCATTGATGAATTTAGCTATAATATGCAAATGATCCCACTTTTCTATGTTTGATGCCAAATTTAGCTGTAATCTGTCAATCTTTTGTTGTTTGTTTGTCTGAAATGGACATTATGAATATCAATGTTAGTTTTATGTGATCTGTATTGTTTAGCTTTGTGTTGGATTACAAATATGTATAGTCATGATCGTGAACACAGTTCTTGCATTTTAGCTTTGTGTTTGCATGTGTGTAATGTGGTAAACTTATTACAATCCCTCTCTCTCTCTCTACCTTAATTTAGCTTCAATCGGAACTGCCTTGACCTTTAGAGGCTTGGTAGATCGCATCAAACGAGGGAATTTGTACTCTTTACAATCTCCCTCTCTCCCTCTCTAACTTAAATATATAGCTTCAATCAGACTTGCCTTTAGGGGATATTTCAGGTTTGAAAATTGTAATGAAAACGAAATTGGTGAATGAGATTTCTTGATTCGATAAACATGATTCTCTTTTAAATAATTGGTGAATGAGATTTCTTGATTCTTTACCATTCCTTTTGTTCACACTTTTCTATGGTTGATGTCAAAGATTTAGCCGTAAATTTTTCAATTTATTGTTGTGTGTTTGTTTGAAATGGACTGTATGAGTTTCAATGTTAGTTTTTGTGTATTTTTCTGTATTTTTTTACCTTTGTGTTAGATTATAAGGGCAACATTATTGGGGGTATCTCCTAAGATACCCCCAATAATGTTGGTCTAACATATGTATGGTCATGATGTTGCATCTTGTAATCTTGGAATAGTAAGCGTGGTAAACTTCTTAAACTTTATAGGGCATAAATCTATTATTCTTACAATCTCTCTCAACCTTAATTTACTCAATCAGACCTCTAATCTAGCTAATCAGAACTGCCTTGGCCTTTAGAGGTTTGGTAGATTCGCATCAAAGGACACCATGTATTCATGAAACTGCATAAATCAAAAACAAGGCTTAGTATTTACAAAGGTTTAGCTTTGGAAATGGGGCTATTCAGGTTTGAAAATAATGGAAACGAAAGAAACCTGCGTCACGATCTCTTCATATTTTAGGGTGAACTGTTTCACTTTAGCTTCTCCTGATTGTCTCACCTGCTTTATCTTGGCAGTATTGTCATTAACCTGTTGATATATAAACAAAGAAAACTTACGGCAATGATAAAGCATCGTGCACAACAGATTCATGTTGTTAGATGTTCAAAAGCAAGGGAGCATTACCACAGCCACTACTGATTCAACATCAGTTTGCCTGGCTTCAAGTTCACGTCTTCTGGATTCAACCTCCACTTTTAGTTTATCCAATTGTTTTGTCCAATCATCAAGCATGACTGCTTTTTCTTTCTCTAGTTTTTTCAATGATTCATTCCACTGATCCACTGCTGAGAGAATAGATAATTACAGCCTCCGTTCCAAAACAAAACTACGAAACAATATCTAAAGAGGGAAGAAATAGACCAAGACTTGCCTATTCTTTCCCGCTCAACCACTTTCGCCTCAAGTGATTTGTTCGCTATTCCATCTTCGCTCAGCTTAGATTTAAGAGCTTTAAATTCTTTCTCAACCTCTTTCGCATTAGTAACCTGTAACATCATCAAACCCACATTGAAACCAAATATATATCCAAAGACAGATTACATCTCACTCTGATAATTGGCAGGTGTGTGTTTTGCTAGGTGCTAGAGATACAATACATGGTTCACAATGAAAAAGGAAAGGAGTCTTTTTGCGTGGTCAACTGTATGTTAATTAACTGCAGTTGCGAAGATGACTTTGAAATTTTCTTGAAGGTCTGCAAAAGGCACCCATAGTTAGAACGAAAGCAAAACTTTGATGGTAAGCATAAAACTGTTGTAAGACTAAACTTAAAAAGATTCTGAAGTAAGAACATAGAAAAGAATAAGGTTTCAATCTAAATAAAGTCCACCTTGGATTCATTCTCATCCACTATTCCCTAAAGCTCCTGGACAGAATTAGATACCTTTTCATAAACCTCAAGAATGGTAGCCTTTTCCTGGAAAGTTTCCATTGCTGACTGTTCAGCTTTTTTTGTTCCCCCAAGTACTAGTTTTTTCTCTTCTAAAGCTCCCTGTCTCCACATCAAGCGTTTAAACCAGTGTATACACAAGATTTAATCTTAGGGGTAATGCTAGTATGAACAGAACTATACCTGCAATTTGTCTGGAGATTGAACAATTTGTGAGCGGAGGTTTGCATTTTCTTGGACAGTTTGCACAAGATCAAACTCTGCTTTAGAAATCTGTAGAGAGAAATACACATGTCGGGAGCAGAAAACTCCTCTCAAATTCAAGCATATGCAAATCGTCTTATTGTTTCTACACCAACTGCATCAACACATAAACAAATTAAGTTTCAGGAAGGAGCTCTCAAGTCCACATCCTGGTGTTTCTTACCTCGTTATCCATCTGTGTACTCTTCTCTCTCATTTCTTGGAAGGTAGCTCGCAGTGACATCTGCTCATTAGTCATTATTCAGTCCTAGTATTTTCTGATTGAGTTCTTGAATGTTGGCTTCTAACTCTTGGACAAAGGGTAAATCCCTTTCAACGGCCTCATCAAATTCCCCAATCTCTGCATTTAACTGCATGGATAGCGCCATTACAAAAAAAAAAAAAAAAAAAATTACCATCTATGTGATACATAATATTCTTGCGTTACCTGGGAAACCTTTGCCTCCCACTCCTTCCGCTGCTCATCAAGGTGAGCCAACTCCTCTGCCATTGGTCTTATTTCTTCCATTTTTGAATATCTGGTACGTAAAGATGATTGCAAATATTAATAATCATGAGAACATCAAATATGAAGCTCCAGTACAAGAAAGAAGATGTAAATAATCATGAATGCACTAAACTACATAGAACTTGTAAAATCTCATCTTAAAATGCTAACCACTTTATCTTTATTTTCTGTTCCTTACTAAACTCTATGTGCATTGCAAAACTCCTACTAGCTATCAGAAATTCAAATATTTGAAACTCTTGTTACTATCTTTAACAAGCGAGACAAATACGAACTCATCTTCTTGAAAGTAGAAACCTGGTTAAAAGAACTCTCTAATTTTAATTCTTGGTAGCAGATACTACAAAACTACAGAGAACTCAGCTAACTTTACTTTCTAGCAGTATAAGCTAAACTAGGAGCATACAAATAGATATAAGCAAGAAGGGCATACCTGTGAAGACCATAATTCAAAAGTGAGCTGATGGAAAACTCGGTTCGGGATGATTTAGGGCGTAACAGATCCTTGTAATTGATCTGTAATTGACAATCCTGTCCAACCACCATTTCTAGCATATCTTTAACTTTGCAATAGAGATTCATAGACTGCACTGAGGTGACATGATGATCTGGATTCTCCAATTGCTGCAAAGCCTCAAAATCAACTTGCCCTTTCTCTTCTCTATAAATAATTGGAAACAAGAATAACCCAAATGAAGCATCATCAAAAATTCCCCAAATTGAAAAAAATTAGGTTTCATACAACAACAAAAAAAAAAAAATCGAAACTTTCAGAAGAAATGAACAATTCGGTGACGCAGCTTGAAATGAGATTCAAAGATTTCAAAAATATGACGGAGACGAACTCGGAAGTAGGGATTTGAGGGAATACATACTCGTCAAGGGCGTCGATGTAGATAAGAAGTCTTGTGTAAAGCTCAGAGACGAAATCGGAACTAGGGTTTTCGAGATCAGCTTCCGTAATGCTAACGATCTGAGCAGCCGTGAGATTCGTGACAATTTCGGTACGAGAGAACCTCGGATGCATAGTTATCAGTTTCCGTCAGGTTCGATTTCGGCTTTGTTGTGTAATGGATTAGAAGAAACTGAATAAAAGAGATGTTTTTTTTGTTGGCCTTTGATTTTCCCGCCTAGAGACGACGAGTTGATATTTAAAATCGAACTCTAGAACAGAAGGAACAAAGTTTCATTAAAAAAACTCAATACTACTTAATAGCATCCATTAGACTCAGAGAAGTAGAAAAGTTTTACAACAAACACATTCTTAACAGCATCCATTAGACGTAATCATCAGTCATCAGATGATAAAACTCTATGATGGTTAACAAGCTACTAAGAAGCTGAGAGAGGGATTGGTTTCACAGCGCTTTGAATCCGCTCAAAAGCTACTCTTACTCTTTCCTTAAGACCTGAATGCTCACTCTCTACCTCTCCACTCTCTTTATCTAGCTGCGCGACATTGCCATCAACCCTAATCACCAGTTTCCCGTTCTCTCCTAGTTTCACATCCCCGAAGAGTGACACGAGGAGCGCGTATATCACTTTCTCAACTTTCTTCCCGTTCTCCTCCTCGGATTTCACAGCATCTTCTTCTTCCACAACGATCTTGGGGACTTCGCGGCTTATGTTGAGAACCAGAGCTACAATGGAGTCTGAAACCATGTCACTTATTGGATCTGATGACCACTGTAACGAGATGTGCTTCTCTGACTCTTGTTTCACTGTTACTCTTTCATGTACTTTCAGTGCCGGAAGCCCTGATTCTTCATCTGTAGAAGATTCCACGCTCTCGAATATCTTCTCGAGGCGATGTTTTATAACACCAAATGCTCCTGCAAACGGGATTGTTATCCGCTGAGTTACGGTTGCTGTTGATAGCTGTGAGAAAACATGGAGTTCATCAGGTGCCATTATCTGATAAGTGAACCCTTTCTTCACCAGAATCCCGCTCACTGTATCACCAACATCGGGTGTCTTTTCCGCCAGTCTCCCAATGGTTTTCGCCAATTTCTCAGAATTAAAATACATTTCAACAGACTCACAGTTCTTCGGGGTCATGATCTTTGTGTTTCCATCAGGAAACTCAGTGAAGAGCTTCTGTTTGAGCCTCATCATCTCGTTAGCTTCACCGTGAACAAGGATGATATTAGGAGGCATGAGCTCTTTCAAGAACGTGCTTGTCTGCGCATAATCTGCGTGAGCAGAGAACGAGATATAGTGCACTTGCATGTTGAGAGGAGCAGTAAGACCATTCATAAGAGTCACCTCCTTCGGTTCATTAATTATTGTCTTCGCCAGTGTACCTTCAACCATATAACCAGGAATGATACAAGCGTTTTTCTTATCTGAACACCAGCTGTCAAAGAGTTGCCTTGAGAGACCACTTTGAAGACCTCCAGGAGTAGCCATAACCACAGATGGACCGACATCTCTAAAATCATCGATGCTGTTTAATGGAGAAATGTGCTTGAACACAAACGGATTAGAATTTGCAAACTGGTTGCGGATTCTGTCGTTCATAGATAATATGTAGGTTTGGTAAACTGCCATACACTTTTTGGCGAGCGGTGACGCATAGTAGATTGGAATATTGTGTAGATCTGGGTGGTTCGCCCAGTATTCATCTAGAATCAAGAGAAGTTCCTGAGCACGGCCCAGTGCAAAAGCTGGGATCAGCACACGTCCGCCCTGAGCAACTGTTGAATGGATTACATCAGTGAAGCGTTTCTCACGAATATGACGGGATTGATGAAGCTGGACACCGGAAGTGGATTCAATGATGCATATGTCAGGGGAGAATTGAGGAAGCTCAGCTGCTCTCAGATGTCGGTCTTCCTCACGGGAATAGTCGCCTGTGTAGAGGATCCGGACACCAGCTATATCCACCATAAACATGGCTGCACCCAAAACATGGCCTGCGGTGTAACACCAGAACTTTATCCCGTTTACTTCAACCGTTTGATGGAAATCAATTACCTAGAGAGGAATCAAACACAACCATTAACTCAACAACCAATGACTTAATTTCTTTTGAACTTTTACCCAATGGAGTGATTAAAGTATAAAGACACTCATATTACACAATGCAGGACTAACCTCAATTTTGTCCATGGACTTGTTGATGTCTTGTTCATCGAACAACATATCTTCCACTGAAACTTTGCTTACTTTTACATAATCTGTAAGCAACAGCTTGTAGATGGCCTTTGTTGCATGTGTCATGAAAACCCGCCCATTGAATGTTGTCTAATTGAACATCAATAAACTCAATTAGTTACCAGTTATCTTTTAACACATCAACAAAAACAATCACTCGGAAAAGAGAAACAAACCTTCTCCAGAAAATAAGGAAGGGATGCTGCATGATCTATATGAAAGCTGCAACCAAAAGCATCACCCCATAGTTTGTTATCTTATACTAAAAACTCAAAGCAAACTAGACAAACAAATACATTCTAACAGCTTAAACTAATCCAAGAAAGGTTTCCACTATGCATCAAGGCTTATGTTTTTGTATTAAAAACTTAAAAAGTTTGAATCTTGAAATTTCCTCAATGTTTCTTGGATTAATTTTATCTGTCAAACCAAGAAATTTTCAACTGAGTAATGGGTATTACCCAAAAGAGCAAGAAGAAGAAGTAAACATACTGAGTAATCAAGAGAACATCAATGGTGGAAGGATCAATCTCATCAAAGTAAGGCAACGCAGCCATGCCCGAGTAAGCAGGATGAATCCCACAATCAAACTGCACAAAGCAACACAGTACACAACCAAAATCAACACACAATAAGACATTTCCCCCTAACACCAGAAATCAAACACATTTGCACGATTACAAGACCAAACGGAGAGAAAGAAACAGACCAGGATGTTTTTGCCTCTGAAGGACATGTAAACACAAGAACGACCCACTTCACTTCCAGCTCCCAAAGGAGTAACGATAAGCTGATCTCCATCTCGCGAAATTGGTTGCTCTCTTCTTTTCAGAGAAGTAGAAGAAGAAGCCATGTCTCTCGTTTTCTCGATTCCTCGAAAGAGACTAAAACCCACACAAAAAAAAAAGATTCAATTTTTACTATCTTCAAACCCTAAACAAACAAGTTGAGAGAGAATGATGCGTTTTAGCAAAATCAAAAACAAAAAAACGACCAAACGACCACAGTGGGAGTCGAACCCACGACCTTCTGATCCGAAGTCAGACGCGCTAATCCACTGCGCTATGCGGTCAATACATAACATGCTACGAATTAATTAATTATATATTACAAAATATAATACCGAAAATACCCTTATGTTGCTTTTGTCACCTTGAAGTACATAAAAGTCTACAAGAAAAAAAGAAAGTTCGAAGCTTTGTTGACGATGACGGAGCGAACTCACGGCCGTCGCAAACCGGGGATGTTAAGGACCTACTCCGACTCTTTAAACGACGCCGTTTCTTCGCAGGCGGGGTACCTTTCTTCGTCTTCGTCTAAAGAATTTGAGCCACTTGAATTCTCCACTCAAGAATCGTCTTGTCTCTGGAATCATTCTTCAAGATCGACTTTTTCGGACGATGATTTTACTCAGAAGAGAGCTAAGAGACCCAGGAACGGTTGTGGAGGGTTTGGTTTAACTTCGAGTCTGATGGAGTCGCAAGAGTTTGGCGAGATAATGGGGAATGAAGACGAGGTTAACTTCGCGCTTGATGGGTTGAAGAAGGGTCGTCAAGTTAGGACCAGAAGAACTGCTCTGTCGTCTCTACTCTCGATTTGCGAATTTAAACATCAGCGACGGTCTTTGCGAGCTTTAGGGTACGTAAGCTTTATTTATTTACTTGTGGTTTTTGATTTTGTTTCTTTCTTAAGGGTTTGTTTTCTTCATTGAGTTCTTTGAAAGTTTCTGCATTTGGTTGTGGGTTTCGGTTTAAAGATTCGTTCGAGCCTTCGGTTTTTAGTACAAACTATTCAATTTCACTCTTTTGCATTTTACTGATTGAAGTTCTGAGTCCAGTTGTGCACATTGTATCTCTGATTAGGATGAAGATAGTAATGATCGTCCAGTTTAATGAAGTTAGTGAACATTTTCTGGTTTTTGGTGAAATGGTATTGTGATTTGTCAGAAGGACTGGAATTTTTCCAGTGGCTAGTAGATTGGTTTTACTACAGTAGATAAGAGAGGTGTTAACCATGAGCATTGTGGTGTCTCACAGAAAAATTTCCCTACTTTCTTGGGAGTTGGTTGTTTCAGGATCTCACAATCCATAATTGATGCGATTTTGGGTCTCAGCCTTGATGACGTACTAAGCAATCTTGCTGCAGCTACCATTTTCTTTGTGCTAACTGCTGATGTAAGTGACATGTGCATTACTTGTATTGTGAATTATGTTTGTGATGTTCTTTTCTCTTCTCTACAGTGCAATTTATGACTCTGCTTTCACGATTATAGGGTCAAGAAGCCCACTCTATGGAGTCACCCAACTCCATCAAGTTTTTGATAAATTTGTTGAGACCTGTGGTTTCCGTCAGTACTAAAGGGAAGCCTCGAAACATAGGATCTAGGATCTTATCAAGAATCAAGAGTGTTGATGCAGCGTGTGATGCAGCCAATATGCATGATTTAAGCTCATGTGATATACTTTCTAGAGCCCAGGAAATTCTTGTTAATTGCAAGGAGTTGAGATTGGTCGATAGCTATAAAATTGAAAGGATGAGGCCTGAGCTAAGTACAAAATGGCTAGCTTTGTTGATGATGGAGAAGGCTTGCTTGTCCAAATTCTCTTTTGATGGTAATTGAACTTCTTGTCTGTTTTGTTGGAAACATTGACTACCTAACTTTTTTAAGGCATCTGGTGTATTATATAGGGTTATAGAAATGGAAAAGTCATGTGCTGATTATTTATATTGTTCTTACCCATCCAGATACCTCGGGTACTGTGAAAAAAACTAGAGGAATGTTTAAGGAGAAATTGCGAGAACTTGGAGGGCTCGATGCAGTCTTTGACGTTGTAATTGATTGTCACGCTGTAATGGAGGTGTGGACCTGTTTGTTTTGGGGATCTAGTTATCCGATTTTTAGCTTAAGTTTCTGTTTATATAATAAGAACAACTATCTTTGTTTGGCTAGGACGTCAATAACTTCAGTAACTTGTGTAAAGTGTCGTAGATTGCTAGCTTTAGGGTCATATTTTATTTAAATCCAATTTGTTGCTGAAAATCGTTGCAAGTCAAGTTTCTTTACATGTCCGTTGCTAAAATATCTAAAGAGAATTTATGTTTTCTTGTAACACAGTTTAATGTTACTGTCATTACATAGAATACTTTTGTTGCGGACAAGAGAGATTTCTGTCATAGTGGTGGCAAAGACTGTGTACTTAAGTTGTCAATGATTACGGGGCCTTTGCAATTGTATATAAGAAGAGTATCTAATGCATATTTGTTTGCAGAGCTGGTTGGAACATGACATACTCTCTGTCGAGGATATAAAAGATGACTTGAATAAGCACAGTCTAATGTTGCTGCTGAAATGTCTAAAAATCATGGAAAATGCTATGATCCTCAGCACAGAGAACCAGGTAGCGTTTATGTATATTGGATTCCTAGCCTCAAGTTAGCTTGTATTGATTAGCTCTGCACCTGTAAAAATAACTGTAAATATCACTTCTTTCAGAATCATTTACTCGGATATAATAAAAAGATGGGTTCTCATAGATTCCAACTGTCTTTCCCAGAGCTCATGATAAGTGTCATCAAGATACTTTCAGGTACACAATGCTTTGTTATGGATATGTTATAATGTTACCATGACTTCCTCCCATGTTATAATTTATTTCTGATGGCTGCTTCAACTGATTACACCAGATCTTCAGTTATGTGCTCTTAGGAACAAAAAGCATCCTCGCCCTCACTGTTCAAATGGCGCTAATCGTGAGTCCATTTCGGGAGCAGATTGTAAAGGTATTCCATTCTGATAGCCAAAAACGCATCTCCACCTCTTGCTACTTTTTTCTCTCTATCTATTCTCTGTTGCTTTGTATATTACTCTCTCTCCAACCATATCTTTCTTCTGCAGTTAACAAGGAGGTTTTGAAAATTAGTTCAGATACTTGCTCTGCCACTAGCTGTAGTTCCATAAGAAATGCAAGCGTATCCAAGAGAAATCAGTCGGCATTCCTGTTAGGTTGCTCAGCGAAAACAAAGAAGGGTTCTCAATCAAGTGTAATATCAATAAATGATCCCTGCACGCTAACGACAAGAGCTGGTTCCAACACTGGGTCGTTTGCAGGCAGATTAGGCTTACTGGGTAGTGGCATTTCCAGAAGCAATGCGCGACCGAGAAATTGTCAAATTAGAGAACCCAGTGGTAAAAAAGTTAAAAACTTTACATCCTTGGAGGATAGTCAAGATCCCTTTTCATTTGACTTGGATGATTCCGGACCTTCCAAATGGGCAGTAGTATCAGAAAAACAAAAGAATTCTAGAGCTCAAAAGAGGAAAGGAAGCTATAGAGACAATAAGGATTACCGCTCGCTTCAGCTTTTCTCGAGCCAGGAGGAATCAAACTATGGGTTCAGTTCTCAGGAAGAATCAAGTGATAGAGATAGCCATGTAACAGAGCAACCTTCTTCAACATATGACATTGATAAAGAATGTCTCGGTCTTATATCTGATTGCCTTTTAACAGCCGTCAAGGTAATGTACAGTCTTTTTACAAGTATTTTCTGTTCTGTAAAAAATTTCTGTAGCTGGAATGAAATTAATTTTGGAACAGAAAGGAATCTCGCCTTTTATGCTAATCTGTTTAGATATGTGTGTATATCATGTGATCCCTTTCTACTTTCTGATACTATGAACATATTCTCAGGTTTTAATGAACTTAACAAATGATAATTCCGTTGGTTGTCGGCAAGTTGCTGCCTGCAGAGGATTGGAGAGTATGGCTGAATTAATTGCTGGACATTTTCCTTCCTTCACCAGATCTCCCCTTTTCAGTGAGTTGGAAATGCCAGGGTCATGCCATCAGAAAGATAAACATCTCACAGACCAGGAATTAGATTTCCTTGTTGCCATCTTGGGGTTATTGGTCAACTTGGTGGAGAAAGACGGAATAAACAGGTACTAAACTCTCTACTCTTCTGGATTTACAACTTTATGTACATCAAGTGTGTACAGTCAGGATTAACATTAAAATCCTTGGAAGGTGAATACATAATCACTGGTTGTCTTCTATGCAAATTGGGGAAACTCTTGATTCATCATTCTATTTATGATCTGTGATTCATACCTAATGTCTTCAGAAGTCTTGTCTAACCAGTTATTATTACTTTGTTGTAGGTCTAGGCTTGCGGCAGCTAGTGTTCTGATCACCAATCCAGAAGGGTTGCAAGAGAGTGAACAAGACATGATTCCTCTTTTATGTTCAATCTTTCTCACCAATCAAGGATCCGCAGACACCACAGAAGAGGCAACTACTTTCACTTTGGTTAGTACTAATCATTGAATCGATTCTGAAAGGCCCTTAAGAGAACTTCGTCTTAAACCTGCCCTTTCGTAATATGTCAGGACGATGAAGAAGCTGTTTTAGAAAGCGAAAAGGAAGCAGAAAGGATGATTGTGGAGGCATATTCTGCCCTTTTACTCGCATTTCTATCCATAGCAAGGTTATTTGTTTATATCTTTCTTGTTGCCGTTTAAGTAATCTAGTTCTCAGCAAAAGTTGTAACATAATCTCTTATTGTGAACAGTAGAAGTATACGCAATGCAATCAGAGATTATCTCCCAAAGCGCAATCTGGCAATTCTGGTACCGGTGTTGGATAGATTTGTGGTATGTACCTCTAAACCCTTTACATTTCAGTCTTCGAAATCGATGTGGTATGCAGACTAAAACCTTTTTTTGCGACCATTTGCTTGTCCCTTCTGTGTTAGGCGTTTCATACAACACTGGACATGATTCCTCTGGAAACGCATAAAGCAGTTATGGAAGTTATCGAGTCGTGCAAATTGCCTTAGGACGAACAAAAAAACAGGCAATATCTTCGTTTTCCTATCACTGTACAGCTTGTGCAACAGTTTGGTTTCGCTCCACACTTATAGTTAGTGATCACACAATGATAATGTTCCATGTATACTATAGATGCTACAAATAGAGGTCATCTTTTTGTTTTGAACAAAACAAATAGAGTATCTTAGAGCTTTTCTTTTGGAAGTTTTGCTTCTGTGGTTCGGCTTAGATTTGTAATTCACGTTCCATTCTTTTATATTTTTTTTTTTGTCATACGAACGAAGAAAGAAGAAGTATGTAAAATGACTAAAGGTCGTAAGAATAACTTAATCAATAAAATATCTAAAAGCCATCTATATATTATAATCCAAACTTTGTGGTTTTGATTTTGATTTCACTTGTTCATTATATGGAAATAATTTGATTAACGGTTGTAAAAGATAACAAATGTCTATTTTTTTGAAAAATGGTTCCTTAATTAGTACTAAATTGACTAGAAATCGTTAAAAAAAAAATGGTTCAACTAAGTATTTAAAGTTTTTAGCAAAAAAGTATCTAAAGTGTGTGTATATATATATATATATATATATATGTATTTTTATTCAAATTAAGAGTTTTATTTTGATTTGAATAAATATATCTTATAATTAAATATATTTTTTTTATAATTCAATGATGCCCCTTTTTATTTTACTAGTTTATTTTGTTTGGTAGGACAATTTTAATAGGTTACTAGATTTTAACCCGCGGTACATTTTAACCCGTGGTACATTTTTATTAATATTGTTTGATATATAAGAGTGTACTACTATATTTTGATTGTTAATTCTAAGATTTAACCCTTAAAATATTGTATGATAATTTATCTTTTATATATTGATCAACTTAATTAAATAAGTATACTATTTAAAATAATGAAATGATGTTGACATACCATTTTCGTTTAAATAGTATAGTTTCATATTAAAATATTTATGAGTTATACTATAGTAGACAATCCGTAAAAACATCTATAATCATAATTCTGTAATTTATAACTTGTTCCATCACATGATCCGTGCTAAACAGTTTCCAGTAATACTTTAGTACATACATTTTATGTATCGATTAATATACGTCCGTTTTCAAAAATTCATATTGCAACATATGCGGAAAAAAAGTTTGTATTATCTATATTAATATTTTTGAAGTACCTTTTAGAAAATAACCTTTTATTTTGTATTATTTACATAATAAATCTTTGCCATTTAAATAAATAACAAACTTTTAAGAGAAAATTTGTGATTAAATTACACCAGAATAGCAAAATTAGAAACTTATATTTATAACATTTAACAAAATTTTCTAAAATGTCTCCCTAATAAATTGAATATCTCTCCATTATCTTTATATGATCTTATTTGTTTTCAAATTTACATTATTACATAAAACATAAGTATAATAAAAATACAAAAAAAATTTCACATATCGTATATTACTCAATCGATAAAAGAAAAAACATGTATGTACAACGTCCCACATCGGGTAGAAAATTTTAGACAATGATTCAGAACCATTATAAATATGACTAATATGAGACTTAAAAATCCAAAATCTTGAATGGAAAATTACAACAAAAAAAAGTTTTACTAAATTTTAGGGAATCCAAAATTTTAAAATCTTGATTGGTTAAAAATGAGTTTTTGGAAAACAAAAACAAAAATATCTCTCGAAATCTACAAAACATTCAAGGTCTATATTTTACATAAATATGATTGAACGGGTTTGAGTTTTATATTTTTCTTACGAGTTATCTTAAGGGTTAACAAAACAAAAAAAATAACGAATATAACTTAAATATAATTTTTTAAACCCGCGAGTTACAAAAAAAATTTCCGCAAGTTAAGTAATAAAAATAACAATAAAAAATACAGTTATACAATCTTAAACACTAAAAAAAATATAACTAAGTGGGTGTTATTGGATAATGAATTTTAATAGAGTCTAACTCTAACCCAAGTCTAATGTTATTTAATCAATGATTTTAAATACTTTACTCAAATCAAGTGTTATTGGTTCTTATATTTGCAAAATCTTCATTAAAAGAGTTTAAAATCTAGTGTTATTGGTTCTTATATTTGCAAAATCTTCATTAAAAGAGTTTAAAATCTAGTGTTATTGGTTCTTATACTTACAATTATTAACTAAAATCTTATGTTATTCAAGTTTGGTGGATTTACACAAATGATTTCATTTGAAAAGCTTTGAGTGAATCTGAAACTGATTTCATGTGTAAATTATGTCAATCCCAAAACCAACCTTCTAACATGAGATTTGACAATCTAATAAATTAATAAAAGTTTCATTTAACGTAATACACGTACGTTATCAATATTTGCAAACTCATTCACCCATGACCCAACACATATGTATCTCTCTTTATCATTATTTCCCAGTCTTTTTTTTGTATCCCTAGTTAATGTGTATATTGTTTTAACAGATTCATTTGATCACTTTAACAACCAAAAAAAAAAAAAAAAAAACAATGTTCATCTTTAAAAGATATGTTAAGACTTCAATACAGAAATTTGAAATGGGAAAAAAATACGTGATGGTAAAAGTTTGGTATAATTTCATTGAAAATTGTAAAATCATTTGTTATAGAATTCAATTCTATTGTTTAAAACCAAATGATATCATGTGTCGGTGTAAATACACTTCCACTGATTTAAAGAATGAATAATAAATCAGTCTCAATGAACCCAGATTTTGAAAGTCTTATGAATTTTAAAATCTAATGGAGTTGAATTTAACTTAAACAACTAATAACACCCCCTAAAAAAAAATTATTTAAGTTATGCCGCGGTTTAAAACCTAGTTATGATACATATGTTATATGTAAGAATATATATTTTAAAAACAAATAAGATCTTTTAAAATATTTAAAAAAATTTCAGTTTATTATAGAGATATTTTAGGAAATTTTGTTAAATGTAATAATACTGATTTCTAATTTTGTAATTTTATTATGGTTTAATTACAAAATTTACTCTAAACTTTTGTTATTTAATTAAATAGCAATAGTTTAATTATGTAAATATAACAATAAAAAAATGGAATACAAAAAATATTTCAAAAATGTTAATATAGATTAATAAATATTAAATTGATCAAAGTTCGTAAAAAATAAGTTCATATATAAAATATTCTTTATTTCCTGCGCTTCTTCTAGATTTCATCTGGTTCCTCGACAATCTGAAAACACTCTTCCCTTTTGTTTTCGCCGTCCGTCGATCTCTGCAACACTTTCCGGCGATTTCTCCGTCTCATACCAAGTGAGTGTCCTTTAACTTTTCTCTTCTTCTTTGGTTTCTCTCTTTTTCCTCTCTTTTTTTTTTCCCCTTGCTCTGTCTCGAATCAAAAGTGACGGCTTCTGGGTTCTCGGCTTAGGCCATACCGAATCGAATTTGAGATCCATACGAATGATTAATCGTTCTCCGGCTCTGACTTCGCTAGATTTTAGCTCAAATTCACGATTTGGCGTTTGACCTTACCGTCACCTGATTCAAGATCTTTTGTTCATTACTCCAAATCCTCTGATTGCGACATGAGCAAGGAGAACATGAGTCCTATTGCAAGCTGATTTGGGGGTGTTAATCTATTGAAGCTCTATACAAGGGAAGCTTAATTGGGCTGTAACCCTTTTAATGGCTTCTCTAGGGTTAGACCCTAGAATCTAAAGTAGGGTTTTTTTTCAATAAGAGAGTTTAACTTAGTCTATTTTAGAGATGGTTACTCAACATGCTTTCTTCTTGTTTTGTTCGTGTGTTTAGCTATCTCATGTGTTTGTAGTATACACCGTACTTTGCCAATGTGGTGAGTTCTTTTGCTGTTCTAATTTTCAACTTCTAATTATTTTCAGGTGATAGTGAAAATCATTTAAACACTCGCTCCGGAGCCTCCTTTGAAGCTATGGGTGATTTAGAGAACTTGCTTTTGGAAGCTGCTGGTAGAACGAATCCAGCTGGGAAGAGCCGTCATTCTCATCCTCCATCATCTAGGAGACGTGAGGGTTCTTACTCGGATGGTAGTAGTGATTCAAGGGATGATTCTGATGACGATCGTGGCTTTGCGAGTAGAAAACCGTCAGGGTCTCAAGTGCCTTTGAAGAAGAGATTGGAGGCAGAGAGAGAAGATCGAGCTGCCCGGAATGAAAGTGGTTATGGTGATGGACCATCTGATCGTGAAGGTGACAGTAGCGAAGAATCTGATTTTGGGGATGACCTTTACAAGAATGAGGAAGACCGGCAGAAGCTTGCTGGGATGACAGAATTTCAGAGAGAGATGATTTTGGCTGAACGTGCTGATAAAAAAGGTGATAAGAACTTCACTGAGAAACTTAGATCGAAGAGGGAAAACGAGAAGACCCCTGTTTCGAAAAAGGAGACCCAGCCTCTTCCTGCCTCTCGTGGTGTGCGTTCATCTGCTAGATCTGCAGACAGAGCGGCTGCAAAGGATGATGCCCTGAACGAATTAAGGGCTAAGCGTATGAAGCAGCAGGACCCAGCAGCTCTCAGAAAACTGAGAGATGCATCAAAAGGTGGTTCAGGTAGTCGAGATTTCTCATCACTGAAGAGGAAACCATTAGCTTCCTCCAACTTGAGTAACTCCAGCCAAAGTGATAGTGATAGTAGGTCACAGAGTGACGATGAAGGCTCGAATGCAGGGCTCGATAGTGATGATGACAGGTCAGATATGCCTACGTTTGAGGATATTAAGGAAATTACCATCAGACGGTCTAAACTTGCCAAATGGCTGATGGAGCCTTTCTTTGAAGAGCTTATCGTTGGGTGCTTTGTTCGGGTTGGGATCGGAAGGTCAAAAAGTGGTCCAATTTACAGACTCTGCATGGTGAGGAATGTAGATGCAACGGATCCAGACAAGACTTACAAGCTAGAGAACAAAACTACACACAAGTACCTTAACGTCATCTGGGGAAATGAAACCTCGGCAGCTCGATGGCAAATGGCAATGATCTCAGATGGCCATCCGCTGGAGGAAGAGTATAGGCAGTGGATCAGAGAGGTCGAGCGAACAAATGGTCGCATGCCCACAAAGCAAGATATATCAGAGAAGAAAGAGGCGATCAAAAGAATAAACAGTTTCATTTACTCCGCAGAAACCGTCAAACAAATGTTGCAGGAGAAAAAATCTGCCTCGGTCAGGCCAATGAATGTTGCGGCCGAGAAAGATCGGCTAAGAAAAGAGTTGGAAATTGCACAGAGCAAAAATGATGAAGCAGGTGTAGAGAGAATCAAAACGAAAATCAAACAGCTTGATGCGTCAAGGAACAAGAAAGGGGTAGATAAAAAAGCGCTCAAACTTGCCGAGATGAACAAGAAGAACAGAGCCGAGAATTTCAAGAATGCATCCGAGGTAAAATCAATAACAGCTAGTCTCAAAGTCGGTGAAGCTGGGTATGATCCTTTTTCAAGGAGATGGACCCGATCATCGAACTACTACAACGGGAAAAACAAGGGGAAAGAGGGAGCAGAGAACGAGGCAGCAGTTGCAGCAGCTGTTGAGACCAATGGAGTAGATGCAGGAGCAGGTGTTGAAGCAACAGAAGCAGCTTTAGAAGCGGCTGCAGAGGCAGGAAAGCTAATAGACACGAGAGCTCCAATAGGTCAAGGAGCAGAACATAACCAGCTTCATAACTTTGAATTGTCTGTATCGCTAGCGGCGTTACAGAAGTATGGAGGACCTCAAGGAGTACAGAAAGCGTTCATGGCAAGGAAACAGGTGACGGAAGCAACTGTGGGATGCAGAGTTGCTGAGAACGATGGCAAGAGACATGGCCTTACGTTAACTGTTAGTGATTACAAGAGAAGGAGAGGTCTTCTCTGATTTATGGATATTTGTTCTTTCAAGTCTCAGCGTTTCATTATCTTCTGGAAACTGCTTCTTGGTTCTTTCTTTAATTTTAATATTTTCTTTTGTACTCCCTCAATATGTTTACATCAATTTGTTCTTTTTTTTCTTGTTGAAATACTTTTTGTACTCGTTTTTGTGTAAGCTCTCCTGATTAGTGTATGACTGCATGAAACTAGAAAATTCTGCTAATTAAAAGTTTTGTCTTATGAAAAAAATGTATCAAGATGGATAAATGGGTTTTTGATGGCGTTCCTCCAAGTCTCGAGCCTGAGTACTGCACATGGTTCTTGGAACCAACATTACTCTCAGAACTTTTTCCTCCTGCAGATGTGTGAATAAGATATTATCAATTCCTCCTAATGTCTATATACAAGATGTTTTTTTCTGGTCACATACATAGGATGATGGTTCATACACAGTTAAAAGTGGGAATTGGCTTTTGTCGAGAGCTGGTTCTGGAGTGGCAGACTTGTCACCAACTACTCTGGTTATCAATGTGGTTAAGGATCGAATATGGAAAATTTAGGAGTTGCCTAAAACTAAGATGTTTGTTTGGCGATCACTATCAGAAGCTCTAGCAGTGTCAGAATGTTTAAATGCTTCATGTGGTTCATATACATACGAGTTGCAGAGTAATTAGATGAATTATATTTTGAGCTAATTAACTTATAAAAATATTACTAAGAAATTATTTAGAATTTGTAACATACTCCTTTTAGTGATTATTGATTATGCAAATAATTATCCTAATTAGAATTCTAATGCGATAACGTACGTAAGTACGTGTATGGATCGTGGACGATAAAAACAAATTACGTACTCAACACAAATGAAAGAGAAGTGTTGACTTATCATATAATCCAATATCTGTCATTTTAATGCAAATATATTTTATAGGAATAAAATCCTTATTACATTAACAATTTCCTAATACTATAAAATATACATCGAGTTTTAAAATACATTTCAACCACCAACCTTATTATTGCATATGGTCAGTCAATAATTAGTGTTTCAATTGCTCAAGAAACTGATTAAAAGTCATGGTTATGCTTGTAAACTATCTTTTGCATATATCATAAACAAATAACAGTCACCTTATATGATTTGCTAGTAAAAAGTAAAAAAAAAAAAAAAACAATAAGCTAGTTTATATAAACGAATTGGACAAATCAATTATTGGAATTCGATTTATAATAGTAATACTTACTTAAATCTATTTGTTTTTCTAGGTAGGGATTAACACATATATTGGGATAGTTTGACATTTTTACTAGTGCAAGAATATTAAATTATTAGCTTATTTACATTATCTAAAACCTAACATATTACTTCTATTAATAACAAAACTTTAATAAATCAAAATTAAAACTCTAACCACACTCTTTATATGATAGTTTAGTAACTCTTTGCACTTATTATATAGGGAACTATTTTGAATTGGTGATCTTTCTCTTTCGTCATTTTTAAATTAGTAGTCACATACATATATAATACTGATACATGTATATATCTGTATGCCAAAAAAAAGAATATAAATTTATCAGAATTTTCTTACTAAACAAACATGTATCATCACATTAATTCACACCCCCTCTTGCCTTAGAAAACATTTTCTTAGAAAGTCTCTTACAGAACAAGTCTGTCTTTTGCAAACATTGTCTGAAGAATTCAAACAAAAGATGGAACAGAGTAAAAGAACAGAGCATGTTGTGTTATTGCAGAGATTGAAAAGATTGGTCGTCTCTTTTTTTTGTTGTCTTCCCCTGTCTCTTCTCGGTCTCCTTCTCATGCTTCTCTTAATCTACAACAGCTTCTGTGTCTTCTCTTTTCATCTTGATACAATCTCACCTGTTAAATCCACTCTACCACCAACTCAACAACACCAGTTTCTTCATCATCATGCATCACCATCATTAACAACATCATCTGAGGTTGACTCTTCATTGTTGCTTGTGGTGAAAGAAACCTCTTTAGGGTTCGTGCAGAGGCAGAATGATTCGTCTACGACGAGGACGGAGAGAAGGACGAGGAAATTCAAGAGAAGAGTCGAGTCAACTTCTGTGATAACTCAGCGGTTACAAGTCGCATCAAGACAGAGATTCAAGACGAGGGTCAAGTCTTTCTTGTCAAAATCTTCTTGCGAGTCACTCTTCTTCATGACCTGGATCTCCTCCATCGAGTCTTTCGGTGATCGAGAGCGATTCACCATAGAGAGCCTCTTCAAATTTCATCCAAACAGCTGTTTGATCTTGGTCTCAAACTCATTTGACTGTGACAGAGGAACCCTAATCTTGAAACCCTTTATAGATAAAGGGCTCAAAGTGCTTCCAATTAAACCTGACTTTGCTTACATCTTCAAAGATACATTAGCAGAGAAATGGTTTGAAAGATTGAAGAAAGGAACACTGAGTCCAGGAGTGATTCCATTGGAGCAAAACCTCTCCAACCTCCTAAGATTAGTCTTGCTCTACAAATACGGAGGGATCTACTTAGACACAGACGTTATAGTCCTCAAACCTCTCACCAGTCTCCACAACGTAATCGGAGCACAAACAGTTGATGCAGTCACAAGAAAATGGAGCAGGCTCAACAATGCAGTACTCATCTTTGACAAAAACCATCCTTTGCTTAAGAGATTCATCGACGAGTTCTCGAGAACCTTCAACGGTAACAAGTGGGGTCACAACGGTCCATACTTAGTGTCGAGAGTCATTGCAAGAATCAACATTGCCCCCTCCTCAGATTTGGGATTCTCTGTTCTTCCACCATCTGCATTTTATCCGGTGGATTGGACTAGAATCAAAAGATTCTACAGAGCTCCCACGAATGAGACCGAGGCTAATTGGCTGCGGATGAGGCTGACGCATTTACGCAAAAATACATTCGCTGTTCATCTTTGGAACAGAGAGAGTAAGAAACTTAGGATTGAAGAAGGAAGCATCATTCATCAACTCATGTCTCATTCCTGCATCTTTTGTAATTCTTCTTCTTTACATTTAAGTTAAAACATGTCAAATAAATTTCCACAAGAGAGAGACAGAGGGAGAGAGAGAATAGGACAAATCTGTGTGTGTGTATGTGTGTTGTGAACATACAGATTTGCTGATCTATCTGCCATTCTTAGTAGCCGTTCAAATAGGCAATGTGTATTTTGTAATTTGTACATCAAAGTTCGTTTTTTAGTACAAGGCTCCCGCCTGGCCAATTTTTTCTTTAGCCATTGTGGCATCAAAGTTCAGTTTTTTAGTTTTCTGTCACAACGACCACTGTAAAAGCGTAATTGGCCAGGCTCATTTGCAAGCTTTATTAGACTAGTTATTGTGACCAGAGGCTAACTATAAGTCTATAACAAGAAACACACAGAATCTCCAAATAAAATAAGTAAAGACTTTAACATAAATCAGAACAGCTTAGAACTTGAATCTATATTTCTCATATACAAACAAGAACACACATATTCAGACAGTAACAGTATAACATCACAACAAGAATGGCCTAATTCTAAATCGACCAGATTTCTAATTCTAAAATCATAACAACAGTGGTCTAAGATGATAACAAGAATGATCATAACAAAGAGTATTCTAAATCTAAAGCAGGTGTAAATTCTACAGGCTACTCATTCGGATACCAGGATCTCTACGAGGCTCAAAGTCTTTGGCTCTCGAGAGGGTCACATAATAAAGCTCGGAGACAATCCCCGTGAGCACTATGAATGCTGCTCCAGCCCCAAACACGCCTTTCCTCAGTGATCGACAAGAAGGAGAAGTGTTCCCAAAGTAGACACGGTACTTTGTATGGTAAGCGTTTCGTACAGAGCCAGCAAGTAAACACACTTCTGCTATGAAGAAGAAAACCCTGCAATAACCATCATCCCAATCCATGACATTCATATATGACAACACAAGAAGTTACTATTTGAATTTAGGCACGATAAATCAACCAACAATTACAATGTACTAAATCATGTAGTTAACAAGTAACCAATTTCTGCAATTAGAGCTGATGGAAAGGTAAAGTCTTGTCAAGTTTAGACACTTGATACAAGAATCCTTGGAGAAAGTTTATTTCTTTGATCTTAAAGTTGAGTGTGTAACATCACATATCAACAAGTAAACTAAGTCTAAATCTCCATTGATCTTAAAGTTGAGTGTGTAACATCACATATCAACAAGTAAACTAAGTCCAAAATCTCCATTGATCTTAACATATACGCTATATTAGCCCTGATCCAAGTTTATGGTTGGTATGAATTACCATACAGGATTCAGGCAATTCCGTTCTACTCGCATATCGACTAAGGATAATGTAATCTAATTCACTATCAGACAGAGAATTCAGCAGGAAGAGAAGAGCATTTTACCAGGTGGTGATGAAGAGAAAAATCGCCCAGGATCTAGACCCACTTGGTGTCAAGGGTCTTCCACAGCATAAACATCGGCTGGCCACCATGATTAAGAGCTGACTCGCCAATAACATCAAGAAAGAACCAACTCCGAGACCCGTTGCTATATCCTTGTCATACACACAGTAGCTTAAATCTCTTGATTCTCTCGAAACTTGCCACTGCAGTAAAAAGCATATCAGGAAGACCCAACACAATGAACACAAAACACAGGACAAAATCTAAACTTTCTTTTCACAAATCATATATGAAATGGTTTCGATTGATTTCATCCTCAAATCCCTCCCAAAGTTTTCAGCTTTCTATGAAACTAATTGAATTTAACAAAACCCAAAAGCAAATCAAATTTTTATGAAATGTTCGAAGAAGTCGAGAGAGAGAGAACTGACGGTGGTTCTACGCTGCTCTGCAGCAACAGCAAGACCAAAAGCTATGAGATCAAACACGAACACCAGAAGCAGTAGTAAAACGGAAGCCATAGCAGCTTAAGTCGTCAAAGCAACACTAACAAAACCCAAAACTCAAAATCTCTTCTTTCTTTCTTCCTCCAAACTCTTTTCTGGATAGTAACGCCGACGCGAAGAAGTCCGAAACACACTGTGCTAAGGAAAGAAGAAAACTTCTGAAACGAAAGGGACACGTGTTATTTTAGTTTTAAATTGTATTTAGTTTCGTCAACTAACTAGTTTTAATGGTAAAAAATATTAATGGTTAAAAGTAGTATTGTTTCTTATTAATATCAACTAAGAAAAATTCTACCAAAAAAAATCAACTAAGAAAAATATATATGCAAACTCAGGTGACGGATACTGTGACGTGATCACAAGCGACGGTGAGAACCTTTGATCAGTGTAGTAACGGCGGTTTGGACTTAGATAACGGCGTTTTCAGGCGGCTTGATACTAACGATCAGGATTATGTTTGTGGGGACTTAATTGTTAACTATCAGTTTGTCAACTGCTGAAGATTTTCAAGTTCATCCAACACCGTCTTGCATTTTATTATTTATAGTCTTTTATAAACCTTGATATAAAATAAATTACTATCACGGTATCAATCCTTAACAATGAAGATAAATCTACAAATGTATATTTGGAACTTGTATGTTGCAAGTTACTAAGAAATAAAATTAAAAAATAATTATAGAATTTACTTTATTTCTATTATAACATTTTTGAATTACCTTTTGGAAAATAACCTTTTATTTTGTATTATTTGCATAATAAATCCTTGTCATTTAAATAAATAACAAACTTTTAAGAAAAAATTTGTAATTAAATTATACCAGAATCGCAAAATTAGAAACTAATATTTATTACATTTAACAAAATTTCTTAAAATATCTCCCTAATAAATTGAATATCTCTCCAATATCTTTATATGATCTTATTTGTTTTAAAATTCACATTATTACATAAAACATAAGTATAATAAAAATACAAAAAACATTTCGCATATGTAGCAATTTGAATTTTTGAAAACGGACATATATTACTCAATCGATAAAAGAGAAAACATATATGTATAACGTCCCACATCGAGTATAAAATTTTAGACAATGGTTCGAAACCATTATAAATATGACTAATATGAAACTTAAAAATCCAAAATCTTGAATAGAAGATTACAACAAAAAAAGTTTTACTAAATTTTAGGGAATCCAAATTTTAAAATCTTGATTGGTTAAAAATGAATTTTCGGAAAACAAAAACCAAAATCTCTCTCGAAATCTGTAAAACATTCAAGGTTTACATTTTACATAAATATGATTTAACGGGTTTGAGTATTATGTTTTTCTTACGGGTTATCTTACGGGTTAACAAAACAAAAAAAATAACAAATATAACTTAAACATAATTTTTTAGTCCCGCGAGTTACAAAAAAATAACAATCAAAAATATAATTACACAATTTTAAACACTAAAAAAATAATAAAATCAACAAATAAAACTTAAATACATATATTTTTTTAGTCAAAACAATCGTCCCGCGGTGTAACGCGGGTTACAACCTAGTAATAATGAAAAGCAGTTTCAAGAAATCACTTTTTCTATGTTGTGATTAAATTTTCATTTCGAAAAATATAATGATTATTGTCTCCACAAAATCTAAAAACCTACAATCATGCAATATTATATATGTATTGTCCTTCTTTTGATAATATCAAATATTAATCCTAAAGTTACAAGGTTTAATTAATTGATAGTTTTTTTTACAGATTCCACTTGAGTATTTTTATTCAAATCTTATAATCAGATAGTAATATTAAATCTTCTTTTTTTTTTTAATTATTTCAGATATTGATCTTACACGGATTGGAACATATCTCCTTTCCCAAGTTGAAACAGGAGTCAGGAGTGAAACAACCGACATAATTAGGTCTTATAAATAGATTATATCGCACGCCATTACTGAATCATTGCATATTTCTCTTTCTTATTGGTCCAAGTACAAGAAAATCAAAGAGAGATCGAAGCAAAACCTAAAATTTAAAGAGAGAGCTAGCTAGTGTTACTATGGGGAAGATGATTAGAGAACCTCTGGGTGTTGCCGATTCTTCATTGAAGCATGTCTCTGTTCTTGGCAGAGGGGGCTTTGGCTCTGTCTCTCTCGAACATGATTCTAACTTCCGACTCTACGCTAAAAAGTCGTCTTCGTTCAGTAACTTGAAGAATCTCGATAAAGAGCGTAGGATCATGCTCTACTTCCACGATCATCCTCGCATCGTCCAGGCCTCAAGCTCTGTTCTTCACTTAACGAGCCAACCAGAAGGATGTCACATCTATATGGAGTTTGCCTCCAAAGGCACTCTCTTCGATATGATCACACGGTTTCGTGGGAAACCAATGCCTGAGAATATGATCGGACGTGCCGCTCTCATGATCCTACAAGGACTCGACGCTCTTCACTCACACGGCTACGTTCACTGTGACCTCAAGCCAGCCAACGTCCTCGTCTTCCCTTCCACCACTTCTGGAGAGCCATGGGACCTTAAGCTTGCTGATTTCGGTTCATCTAAAGAGCCTTGTACGGATTCTAGGTCGTTATTTCCTGGTACGTTGCACTACATGCCGCCAGAATCTCTTGGAGCGGACTGGGTGATGGGATCGTCGGCCGTTGATATATGGTCTCTCGGGTGTATGGTTATTCAGATGTTTGGAGGTTGTCCAGTGAAGATGAGAGAATGTTACATGTGGAGGCTTCCCAAACGTGTCTCTCCAGTGGCCATCGACTTTTTGAGACGGTGCTTGGCGTTGCAGCCGTCACGTAGGGCCACAGCGGCCGAGCTGTTGAGCCATCCTTTTGTTGCGCAAAAAGACAGTACTACTGTTCCAGTCACAGAGATGCTTCTGTTTCCTTCTTTCTTAAGGTTTCCTTCCTCCATAATGAGCCAAGTGGTGAAAGAATATTATAGGTTACAAGGAGGAGTTAGGGTTTGAAGACCAGTTTTTAACTAGTATCATTAATCTATTAGTTTTTTTTTTACCATCATTGGATTCATTCGTATTCGTTAAATTATTCCTACTGATTTATGTTTCTATAAGAGTTATATAATGATATAACCTTAAAATATACCTTCCAAAAGACACTTTTTTTTTATTGGAAGATAACAGAAAACACAAACTAGGCTTTCAAGAATTAGATCTCCTTGTTGTTGTTTGAAACGCAAAAAGATCAGATTAGAAAAAACAGAAAAATGATAGAAAAGATTAGTATTAATTATTTTTCGAGAATATTTCATCATGATCATTAATAAATCATATATGATCTATCAACACAGTCAACATGGTCTGGTGCACATACAACGACGACGGAAGCCACGGCAGTCACCATCTGGAAAACCTTCAGTGTTGCAAACATTGGCGCAATTGCTTTCGCTCAGACACGGTCCACTGAACAAATTGCTACTCGATTCACACGTCCTTCCCTCCACCGTCACTACAATACATGCGTAGAGTATAGTATTCCTATTAATATGGACCTTATCAACAATGTTCTTAATTACAACTATAACCTAAATAATAGACGGAGGTATCATGCATGATGACATGAATAATGAACCTGTGGCAAGGAGCATGAACAAAAGGAGAACGGCTGAGATTAAACGAGGAGAGACCTTCATTTTGTAAGAGAGTGAGAGATTGAGAAAATATGTTTTGCAGAAGCTAATAGACAACAATATGGCCACTTATATAGAAGGGACTAAAGATGAATATGATGGAACTATATATGTATTCATCTTGGACGTCTTGTTATTAATTAGATAGAGAGTGGTTGTTTAACCACGATATTACCGTTTCTTTCGTTTGGTTGTGGAAAATACTAAAGTTGGTAATGAAACAAAATTTGACCAGAACACTAGCTTAGAATGTAAAGATGTAAAATGATATGTACTAGTCTAAAACTATGGGTGAACTAACTAGAAGGATAAGATTTGAAGTGCTTGTGCTATCATCTAAATAGACTGATATGTTACACATTTAGTTTACAAAATAAAAGTTAAGAAAGAAAAAAGTTTACAACAGCAACAAAAAAAAAACAATATTACATATTGTGGCAACACAAAGGTCTTTGCTTGTTTTCTTTTTTTTTGAATCTAATGTTAAATTATATTCAAAATAAAAATAACGTTTTTACAAAGTGCAACTTTTTCTTAAACGTTTTCAAAAGGTCTTTGCTTGTTTTCAAAAGGTTTTATAAAGCCTTTCTCTCAAAAGACTCTGCATCTCCAAGCTCCCATGAAACTTCTAAATCCTAGTTTTTTTTTTGTAAGGGGCTTCGAAGTTACAAACTCAAAAGTCAAAACAACAGTTTAAGTTTTATACATATACATATAAACTCTTTAATCATTCAGTATCGAACATTTTGGAATATTAATTTTATGTTTTTATATCATAATAGCAAAAAAAAGGAGTAGTATAGTTTGGTAACCATGTTGAGATGATCTGAGATTCTGAATGATGGAACTTATCATGGGTTCTCAGGATCAGTTTGGATCTCATGAGCCAACTCTCTGGTTAAGGAATCAGCGCGATCGTCATGTCCTCCAGCAAATGTATAGACTTTGAATGCAAACTGAAATGCCCTCCAAAGCATTTTAGTACATCCTACTGTCTTCTTCAAGCTCGGTTTCGCGTCAGGCGACGCAAGCTTTTCTTCTCTCTTTTCCTGTGAATTCGATTATAATCCGATTTGATTACCGTAGAAGAAAGGGCATACACAAATGAAGAAACTGTTTTAATATTGCTAGCTTTTAGTTACCTTCAATGCAAGTTCCATACAACTAGATGAGATATCAACCATTGTCTCCTTGATCTGAATCAGTATATTGAAGTCAAAGTGGATGTTGTGGCTCTGGAACTTCTTGGCTTCTTCATCTTTGGTTCGATCAAGCGCATCAATGTCTCCTTTGATCTGTTTGATTCATCAATCAATTTTGGATCTTTAAGTTATAGACTGATGTTAAAACGGTTTTAAGTTAGGTATGTACCTTTGTGAAGTAACGTTCGACTTTATCTAGAAGCTGATTCAAAGGAGCTTCTATCTTCCAGTTCTGTAGCTCGGTGATCATACCGTGCAGCTTCTTGTACAATGCAACTGCCATTCTTATTGCTTCGAGTTTCTTCTGTGGAAACCCTTCACACCGCGCAAGAACCTGAAAATTTTCAAACATTTTTACTAATCAAGAATCACAAAAACAGAGGATATAGAAGTGAAGATAATAAGATTTTTGAATGTTGTTGACCTGTGACTCATCAGTTAGGTTTTCAAGAACTGATTCTACGCGACTGTGGAAGTTAAGAAGCTCAGTCATGTCTTTAGTCTGAAACTTAGTGATCTCAATCTTCAGCTCATTGATTGATTTCATGTACTTTGCAATGTCATCTTGTATTTGCAGGAAATATGCAGATTTCTTTGTGATCTCAGCAAGAGCATCAGCCATTCCTTGTTTTCCACCAGCTGGAGCGCTTCCGGCTCCCGGTTTTCTTCCGCTTCCGCCACCAGTCTTCGCTGCAGGATCACGCCCCTCTACTTTCCCTTTAAGGATTCTGTATAGGTTCCCTAATTGGGTTGACCTTTTCAGTTTTGTAGCTGCTTTCTTGGGACGCAAGCTTCTTGCTGCTCCTGGAGGGGGCGGTGGACCTGCTGCTCCTGGCGGGGGTGGTGGACCGGCGGCTCCGTTCTTCATACCCGTTGGTGGTGGTGGTGGAGGCGGTCCCGCTGCTCCAGTTGACTTAGCCATAGGAGGTGGTGGCGGTGGGGGTCCTGATCCATTAGCTAGAGGCATAGGAGGTGGTGGAGGCGGTGGTCCACCTCTTCCACTATTTGTAATAGGCATTGGAGGCGGCGGTGGTGCTCTGTTCTGCATTGGTGGAGGAGGAGGCGGAGTTGGTGCCGCTGCAGTTCCTGGAGGAGGAGGAGGCGGTGGTGGGGCTACTGCTGTTCTTGGAGGGGGAGGTGGTGGAGGTGGAGCCACTGCAGTTGGCGGTAATGGAGGGGGTGATGGTGAAGACATAATTGCTGGCGGAGGTGGTGGTGGTGGCGGAGGAGGTGTCATTGATATTGCAGTGTCAGAATTACGCGGTGGTGAAGGTAGAGATGCAGTTTTAACAGGGGGTAGTGGGGGAGGAGGAGGCGGTGGTGGCGAAAATGCCGGCACAATTACTGATTTTTCTGATTGATTGAGTTTGACTTCAGATGTTGAATCCAGTGAAGCTATCTTCATGACAATATCTTTGTCTTCATCAAGAACAACAGATTCTTCTGTCTCCATCTTCACATCAATGCTCTTTATTTCAACTGTTTTTTGCTTGATCTCTTCAACAACACTAATCTCATCTTCTACGTTGCTTTGGTTTGGTTCCTGCGCTTCTTTCTGTGACAAAATGTGTATAGCGAGTCGCTTAACATCAATAGGGCTAAGCTTCTCCAGTGCTTGAACTCTCATATTCCACAGAAGATGTGATGCAGAGTTTGCAAAGTCTCCAGCTCTTCCTGGTGAACCCATCATTGGTTCTGGTAGAACTGATCTTGGTGTGATTGGTGACCCGCAGAACGAGTTTCTACTATCAAAGGATGATTTGCTATCGGAGAATGATTCAGATGGCGATAAAGCTCGGCTGCTCGAGGTTTTAGCTGTCCGTGGACTAGTGGACGCGGACTCTTTCTTCTCTTCTTCGTCATCAATCTCCATCATATCAAACCTCTCTTTCGACATCTTAATCAGTCCATCTAATGCAGCTAACACCTTCTCCACTGCAAAGAAAACAGAACATTGTAAAGAGTGTTTCTGCATTTTAAAACATTTTGTAACATTTAAAAGATGATTTTATTGTTACCTAGTCGATCAGACTGATTCTTCCCGACGCTGCTACTCCAATACTTAGATTTAGCTATCCACTCGGGGTTATCAATCCAGGAATCTCCAATGGATTTTAAAGCATTGAAGAAATGGTCAAGAACCTGTGGGATACACATTGTATTAGATTCATAGGAATGTATAAATCAAGACATAGGAAAACATATATATTTGGATCATGTTTTGAATACCTTATCGACATTTGCACGTCTTATTTCCGAGATATGTGAGCTGTGGATGATCTCAGGACAAAGTTTCTGAAGATCTTTCATTGTATGCATCACCATCTACCCAACATAACAAGCAAGTGAGTCAAAATATCATATAAGCATCTTGATACAATTAACAAGGAAAATTTTGTGGTAAATTAACGCACATCGGTTATGGAAGGAGAACCGTCAAGAGAAGGAAGATCAATGATGTCTCTAAAGGTAAAGATCTTCCTGCGAAGCTCGACCATAAGAATGAAATTACCAGTCCATTTAGGTGAACTGGTCGTCTTGGGGCTCTTAGTTTCTTTAATAGAGGCATTCTTGAGGATGCCTATAGGCGAAGAAACACGTCTTGATGATGTAAGGCTGCTTGAGGATAATATTGACCTAGATGATCTAATCGGTATGGGTGAAGATGAAGAAGTTTTAGGTGTAGACGAAGAAGAAGTTTTCACATCTTGCTTGCTACTCTTGCTAACTTTAGGCGATGTTTGCCCTTTTACAGGCTGCAAGAAAAATAAAAATAAAGAGAGATATTTAGAATCAAACATTTTGCACTTTGGGTATGTGATTATGAAAAATTTGTTAGTTCTTTTTATGTTTCATCGTCATAGATTTTAAGAACCATCATAACAATCATGCAACCAAAGATGCAGAACTTGTTATATTGAAACCAAGATGCAGATTTTGTGAACCTAAACATGAACAAATAAAGACTACATATGACAATTTTTGGTATGTCTTTTTTGGAACTAGTTAAGAGTTATGAGTTTCGTATGAATCATATAACCATATAACTCCTAGAGACAAGAAACTTGTTAAGGCGTTTTGTATGAATCATATGAATAATTTTCAAATTTATGAAATAATATTGTGGATATATAATCAATATGAATCAAGAAAATTGTAACATAATCTAGAAAACCAATCAAGAAATGAATAAGAAGAAGTTATACCTGTAACTTGCTTGATGATTTACGACCGAACAACATTGTCGTTTGGATACTAAAACAACCTCCGGCTGTCATGAGTTGCCGGCGACTCCGGCTTTATAATGTCAATAAAATATATATTTTTTTGGGTGTTTCTGTTGAAAAATTCAAAATAAAAAATGAATATATATTAACAGACGTGTTCAAAGCCTTACAGCTGAAGACACTAATAAAGAATACACATCACAATCATCAAAGAACTTCAGAATCGTGCAGAGCAAAATCTGATAATTAGGGTTTTGAGGCCTTTTTGTGTGCTGCTGATGAGAGACTTAGGGAACTTTCTCAAGAAAGAGAGAGCCAAAGGAAAACAAATGTTAAATCTCTCTTTTTTATGGGCAAATCTCTCTAACCCCTTTCCCAAAACATATCTCTCCTTTTTTTAGTTAATTTTTCTTTAATTACCTGTGTAAAGTACTAATTATCTCATCTTGTTTTATATTGTTACACCAATTCTGTTTTTACTTGAAAAATTATACCTTTTTCTATTTTCATTAATTAATTGGTAACAGAATACAAAAAGAACATCTTAATAACACAGAGAAAACAAAACCAAACCAAGCTTTAAAGAATAGTAGTTTTAGAACCTACACAACCTGCCGTTACTACTATACTACAATGCCTAAAAAAAGTATAACGTAAAACAAATTTGAGTGCGAAAAAAAAAAATAATAACCAGAAAATATCATTTGTACATGTAAAGACATCACAATATCACATACCTGTTTCGAACTATGGAGATTTTGTAGCTGTAGTGACAATGAAGATCTTGTTCACAAACTAAATAAAACTCATGTATCTCTCTATGCGAAATCTCTTCTAACAGTGTGACACACACATATATATGTGAAGTTTAATTTTTTTGAATATAGAAAATATAGTATAAAATATGCTGTAAAGGAACCAAATCCATCAGAAAATCACAATAGAGAATTAAAATTACAAATTAAGTTTCTTAACAAGACAAACTCAAAAGGAATATAAATTAATAAAAATGTATTATTCATTTTACCACTATCCATATTCAATTCTTGTAAAATGTTTGTTTCTAAAGAAAAAAAGTTAAAATTAAGTAATGAAAATATGACTCACTACTGATTATAAAATGACTCCATTTTTTAACTACGAATTTTTGCAATTGACAATTATAAATCTGTATTTTTTCTCTATTTTTGGTAGTATATATTACTTTTGATCAACCATCTATATATTGTTGACCATTCATTTTGGTATGATTTTTACATGGAAAAGTATTATAAGATTTTTTGCTATTAATACTAGTCAAAGTTTACAAATACAAAAGGGATATACTCATATACATATACAAATGTAATTAATGCATCCAGCTTTTTATCTTTATGATAGGCCCAAAAAGGCCCGTCACTTACTGAGTTTTAGAGAAACCCGAGAGATTGAATTGAACCAAACACCAAGCAATGTGAACCAAATATTTCTCTTTTTTTTTTGTTTCAACTTCATACTAAATAATCAACTCAAAAGAATCAATCGGACGGAACATTGTTTACAAATTTAACAATATGCGAGCTAACACGAGTTTTTCGTGCCAAATAATCCGCTTTACATTTGCATTTCTGGAAATAAGTGACAAAAAAAAATGATGAGAACTTGTATATCTGCCAAATATTCCTCCTCTTTATATAATAAAAAAAATTACAAATCTCATTGTTTAACCCTTAATAAATTACAAATAAATCTTCAGAAAACAGTTTGAGAAAATAATAAATAAATAGAATAATCGTATCACCACCACCACCTGACTTATTTATGAATGTATCAAAAGAATATTTGAAGTGACCAAAACAATGCGTTCTGTTTCCAATGGGTTTGACCGTTTCTCTTCACTCACTTATGTTGTTGCTCTTTCACGAACCGATGGAGTTCGAATCGAACCTTTACGAGATGCAGCCATGGCTGATCTCTCAGCGATTCTTTTCTGCCTTTCCATTACAAGATTCTCTATTCTCTTCCTCATCTCTTCTTCCTACAATCCCAAATGTTAACGGGTAAAAAATCTCGGTAAGAAACTAACATAATTCTATCGGATAAAGAAAACGAAATGTTAGAATGTTTTCTAACCTTTTCAAACTTGTTCTTCTGAGCCATTGTCCTGCTAGCTACTGTTGGTTTCTTTGCAGTCTTGGACAGTGTTTCAGCTCTGGTTCTACTTGGTGTTCTAGACTTGCGAGCTTCTGGGTTCTTCACATTGGTTTTCTTCTCACCGCTTGACACGCTCTTATCCTCTTTCTCTTGAGCTGTTCCGTTAATGGATAGCCTTGCATTCGCTTCAGCAGAGAAGTCGATCGAGTAATCATGAGCCAATGAGTCTCCTGAATTTCGTTCAGGAATCATACAAAGATCATTTGGTTCCCATGAATCACGCTTTTCATTCGCATGACCATTGTCATTGTCAGAGGCTAAAACAATATCAGCAGCCATGTCTGGTCTCCACCGGGAGTCATAAAGATCATCAGCAGCAAGCGATGAAGAATGGACCATGAAAGAATCATCAACGAAGTCTTGTCTCTTGCTCTTGTCAGAAACTTCAGATGTTAAAATGCTGTCATCGAATGACATTCTCCCGTGGTTGCTTTCTGGTTTTCGATCGGAAGAAGTAAACCAATCCTCTCCACTCCCTGACTTCTTCACCAACGATTCGCCCCTCGTAGCATTATACATGTCTTTGCTTTCATCTCCAAACATTTCTGTTCTCTTCAGCATTAACATACATTCTTCAGTCGAGTCCCTCGTTCTTGGAAGCCTACGAGCACTATCCTCACTTTCAAAATGATCAAAGGTAGCTCCTCCTCCATTTTCTATATATTTCTGATTTGTGATGATGGAATCACCCGAGGCAGTGCTTTTTGCTTGCAAGCCATTAGAATTCGCACCGTCACTAGCGCCTCTATGGGTGAAATGCTCCTCACTGATGACATCCATCGACTGAACATCTGAGCCATCGTCATGCCTCATCAGGATATTCTGAAAAGAATCCCAGTTCTCATTGCTTCGTTTTTCTTCACCAGAGACTTCTCCCTCATGAGCTATTTTATCCTTGAGCAATCCAACAGCAGCATCTACCGTCTCTTTGATGGAACCATTTTCAGTAAACTCATTTCCCTCCATTTCTCCGTTTCGTCCCTCAGGGGTTATGTAGTTTATATTACGGATGATAACAGTTTTAGATGACTTCTTCCGGTTTTTCTTTGATCGACGAGAGTTTTTACTCGTACGAGAGTGTCTTTTACCTTGATCTTCCACTGATGAAGCAGAATCATCGCTGGCTGAGTCAGATTCACTAGATTCACTTGATTCACTAGACTCATCTCCATCAGACTCCCCTTTCCCTTTTTTCTTGGAAGTTTTTCCCCTTGAAGGCCACGGCATGTTTCCTTGGTTATGATTTGGCATAGATTGCATAGGAGGGTATGGATAGCCTTGGTATGGAGGTGGGTAGAAGTACTGAGGCATATGGTTTGGCCATCCCATTGGTGCTTGAAAGTTTGGTACACCGGACGGATGTTGCTCTAAACTAACTGACTTTTCATCTACAAATCAGCACTTCTTCAAATTAGATATGGGAATTTTTAGCCATCTAGCAGTGAAAGAATTAGGATCTCTGATCAACTAAGACAAGGTACCTTTATTTTCAGAGTCGGTCCCATTTAGTGATAGAGCAGCACCTTCATTGGTGAGGATGATCCCTGCGGAACCCAACAATGACATGTCCACTGGAGCACATGCTTTCACAGCTGCTAACTCCGCCATCCAAAGCCCGTCGCCGTGCTTCTTCTTCCATAGTTCCTTGTACTTTACACATGCTTCCCTACATAATGATGGAAAGGACAGAAGATTTTAAACAGAACTCAGAGCAAAGCGAATGACCGAGGTACAAAGACAATGAAATGGTTGAAGTAGTATTTACATACCTTAACCTTGAAGCCCCAAAAGCATCAGCAAAAAAAACGAGATCATCAATACTATCAATTTCATAACCAGCAACAACGCCTCGTGCATAAGCCATCGCTTGCTCCCTCCGAAGCAATGTTCTTCGGGTTTCCAGAAGTCGTTGAAGCTGAATCCTGATAAATGAGACAAACAAACAACACAATTAGTCAACCAAAAATTATCCACCGGTGGCAGAACTCGTCAAAAGAAATTGTATCGAGTTCCAAAGTTAGAAAAGTTACTTGGAGGTTTCCTCTCCTGCAACCCCATTGCCATTCTCAGATTCCTTCTGTAGTAATACATTGAACGAAAAAGAAAAAAAAAAAACACTCAATTCACCAAAACCAGTTACTAAACAACACAAGTACACAACTTGAAACCTCAAGTTACCTTGGAGGAATCCGCAGACTTCCTTAGATTACTAGTAACTCCAGAATTACTCCCTGCAAATGATAAGCAACAGTGTTTATAAAACCAACACCAACCATTATAGTAAGTTAAAAATTTCATTAGCTTTACCATCTTGTGTTTGCTCAGCGTCAACAGCAGCATTGGCGATTTCATTAGCTTGAATAGAATGCTCAATCTGCAAGATCTCTTTCTCCAGAGTCGCAAATCTCTCAATAATCGCAGGCGTGTTTACAAATCTCACAAACCTACAAAATTACAAACAAGTTCAACATCTTCTTCAACACAAAAACAAACAGATTCTCACTAGTCACGAAGATCATAATATTCAAATCTGAAAAATTGGGAAAAATGTCAACAACAATGGAAGTATTACCGATGAAAAGTGGATTTGGTGAACCAAGGAGAGTGAGAAGAAGGAGGAGTGAGGGAGATGGAGTAACCGCCTTTAGAGATCTGATCTCTAGCGAATTTGAGATGAGAGACGAAAGGTTCGAAGATTCCAGAAGCTAGCTTCTCCTTCTTACTCCCACAGAAAAGCACCAGATCGAATCTTCAAAAACACAAAGATCCAAACACAAAATTCAAACACAATTCCACTAAACAAGATCAATCAAATCAAATCGAATCAGAAAGTGAGACCTGGTGCGAGTAGGAGTGAGTTGAAACAGAGCAGAATCGAGTACAGCTCTCGAATCCATGGTGTGTGACTACACAGAGAGAGAGAGAGAGAGAAAAGAGAACAGTGAAGTCTTCTTCTTCCTCGTCTTCTCCTTCTTCGGGGAAGAAGATAAAGGGAGAGACGTGAAGGAGGAGACATGTTGACTTGAGTTTGTTAATTTATTTTGGATTCGAAGCTTTCGGTGACAGCAAAGGATGAGGTAAGAGGAGAGGAGTTGGGGCACATGTTTCGTTGTCAATTACTGTGAGAGAGAGAGAGAGTAGTAGTGACTGACCAATATTATTTTGTGGTCCCTTTTCAATTATAATGTTTATGCTCTTCCTCGTCTTTTTATTATTTTTTTCATAATTGATACAATTTCTTATAATCATCAATCAATTGTTAAATGATTTTATCTTCTTGTCGGCTAGATAATATATATTGAGAGAGAGAGAGTCAAGAATGTAAAAAAGCATGCATTTGCAGCTGTTAAGCAACAAAGTTAAAGGCAAGTTGTGTTGTTTAAAGCCCACCTCAACGGATAGTTTAACTCGTTTCAACAACTCTAGAGCTTTTCCAAATTGGGGGTTATGTAGGGTTAGGACAATATCAGTATGTCCTGTTTTACAGAAGAAAGATGAATGGTAGCGACAATGAACGCGATGGATCGCGCTTTAGGGTTATTTCTTCTTTGCAAACGATTGAAGGAAGTTATAAATCTGGATGTGGAGAAAATATCCCACATCGGAAGATGTGAGGGGACTTCAGTAATATATAAGGGATTAGGGCCAATCCACTCATTGCCAATTGGTTTTGAGTTGGAAGCCCATAACAAACCCTAGTTTAACATGGTATCAGAGCCCGAACACACGCTGACCCATTAATTAATCCGGCCCGAATAGAGGCTCGATCACCCCATTAATTGATGGCCCAAAAGAAGGCCCAATTCTATCGAGATAGCTAGAAAAGCATTATCTCGAGGGGGCGTGATGGATTCTGTCGGAGGCGTGTGGAGAAAAGATCCCACATCGGAAGATGTGAGGGGACTTCCTAAATATATAAGGGATTAGGGCCAATCCACTCATTGTCAATTGGTTTTCATCGCAAAAAAATTTAGCTATATTATTATTAGTGTGAACCTTCTAAAGTTCGTTAGAAGGAGGATTGTAATAACAACACTAATTAATTGCCCAAAATAATTTGTTTTTTCTCGATTTGGGACTCTAATATGTATGTATATCTCGAAATTAATATGGTTGTCGCGGTGGGGGATAGAAAGATACATAATAATTTATACACGATGCCCTACACATAATGTTCACTTTAGTTGCACATATGTGAGTATTTAGTTTAATTATTTCTTCTTTTTTTTAAAAGAAAAAATTGTATTTAAGCATTGTGCACTTATATACAAGAGCATCCAATAAAAAGGCAGATTTTTATTTTTGCTATGAAACAAACATTTCATAAAGAACCAAGTAAAATTTGAATAATAGAATGGTACATTCATTAAATTCTTATTATTTATGTATGATCATAGATTTCCAAAAAAAAAATTTCCAGTTTCTGGAAAAAAAAATCAACACATTTAGTTAACTTCTTACAAGAATGAAGTTAACTGAAAAACCGAATAGTTAAAATAAAAAGTATTTTATTTTACTATGTATATCATATTAAATTAAAATAGAATAAACTGAAGGAGAAAAACACGTTTTATTATGAGCAATTACATAATTTGACCTAAGTAATTATGTGCTTGTACGTGGGGTTGATGCTCCTTAGTTTATTCTCTTCAACTTCTAAGAGGTTCCTCGTCACTGCATCCGATGCCATGGCCAAGAGCTTTGACCAGTCTCTGAACAATTGAATAAACAGATGTTTAAAAACAAATCACATTTACATTACCAAATCATATTTATTTGTATATTAGAAGAAATCATATTCAAGTACCTTACCAATTATAGATTTTATACTCATATATTTATATAGATAATTTTCAGTAACATGTTATTTACTTGTGTGTCTATTAATTGAAGGGTAATATATAGATTTATGGGTTTATTTTTGTTTTGTTAGGGTGCCATATCAATTTCTTTTATAAAACATCATAAAATGCATGCATGTTTTATTATAATTAATGCTTTATGAACTTCTTTTGCAAAAACAAAATGTCGACGTAAATGTTTCGTTCATGTACTCGTATAATTAGATTTCGTTAACGATTCCTAACAACTTCGTGAACTTGTGATAAAATATAAAACATGCATATATTAGAACGTTTATAAAAGAAAATGCTATGTTTTTCTTTTAAGCAATAAAAATAGATTAATATGTAAGTAATATATTTAAGAAGTCGTAAATAAATATTGATGGAGGAAAAAAGAAGAGCATACCCAGTAGAAGTATCAAACGTGAGCCCTACGGTGTATCTTGCTTCCCTTAGAGCCAATTGAAACTTCCGGATCTCAGAAGCTGGACGTGTCCCGTCGTCTTTAACGCAAAGTTCCGATGGCTTGACATCGAAAAATACAGGGATGACTCTTTTCTTGTTCTCCATGAGCAACGTGAGTTCATTGAGACAGGAGTAAGAATCACAATAACGAGCAGAGAAGACAGCAATACCAACCCCGCATGTTTTGATCGCCGTATCGGTCTCGACTAAAAGCCTGTCACCAGGCTTTAAGCTCTTACTATCCAAGAAAGCATTCAAACGTAGACTAGTGAAATGATCATATAGCAGGCCTGAGATACTCGTCTTGGTATCGATCCCACAATGATTGATGAATATGTCACATGGGTTGTTTGGGTATGGTATGGTTGGATTTGTTATGCATCTTGTTGCATGTGCGAGTTTTGAGGAAGGTGCTAACAAACGTTGCATAGTTTTGGATTGACAAGGCAGAAACAAAATGTATTAATTGCAAAAAGAGTGATGTAGAGATGAAGAGTACTGGTTTTAATATTTTTTTTGATAATTAGTTTTAGTAGTTGCGTAAGAAGAACTGGTTTTAGATTGGTAAGAAATATGTATGTGTCTAGCTCTATTTATAATGTTTCTTTAGGCTTTTAACTATGGTTTGTAAATAAAGGTTTTAAACTCATGTCGCTCTCCAGAAGTGATCATGATATTTGTAATTATTTGATCCGGATCCATAAAAGGTTACAAATTACAAAAAATATATATATATATATATATATATATAAAATTAGCATATTCAAGAAACAATTGTTAAAATATTGAAACTCGTATAAACTTTACGAATTAGAATTTCATATATATATATATATATATATATATATATATATATATATATATATATATATATATATATATACCGTGCGTGCTATACATATCATTTAAACATGTACATCAAGGTTGTTCAAAAAGAGACTTATCTTTTCTATTTATTATACACAATATAAATATTATATATATATATATATATATATTGTATAAAACACTGGATCACGCTAATTTTAAAAATCTTCAAATTGTGATCCTTGTCACGCTAATACTGAAGGAAGAATTCAAAGTTATTTTTCTAGCAACTGGACTCAAGAAAATACCTCAAGAAACGAGTGAAAAAATTTCTTATATTTGACTTGTTTGACTTGAACGCTATTTTTTTTTTCTCGTCTAAGTTGAAAGGAAAGATTAAAAAAAAACCTTCAAAGACGCACATATACGTTAGATCAGAACTATTTTATTATATATTAGTGACATTTACGTCAAAAAGTATATAATACCTTTCTTTGTTCTTTTTAATACTATAACACGGTAACTGAAAGAAGGAATTGAAGTAAAAGTGTAAAACGGTCATCATCTCCAAAAGAAATAGATAGTAAATGTACTTAAAAGAGAAATGATCAACTGTGGAAAAAGAAAAACTGAAATACTCGAATCAAACCAACCTAAAATTTAGAGGTACCGAGTTCGAACCAATTTTAGAAATTTACACTGCTATACACGAAGACCCGAACCAAAAACGAATATAATACCCATGATATGAATATATATTGACAGAACTAGAAAATTAAAAGACATGATATGAATATATTTGGACAGAATCCTTTTATAAAAAATAAAAAACAAAGATGTCAACATATTCTAGGGGAGGATGTTCAAGATGGCAGAGCTTGGGGAGTAACCGGAACCACAACTATGTTTGATATGAGTTTCAAACGAATATGCTGAACCGTTGGAAGAAGAAGTGTTTGGAGAGTCTGCATGACATGTATATAGTGTCAAAAAGAACAAAAAATCTAACGATTATAGGCCAAAACTCCTAGCCTAGTGTGTGTGTGTGTGTGTGTGTGTTAGTGTTACCCATATCTCAGAAGTAAATCCTCAATTCAATCACCCAAACTCTTAGGGTCAGACACAAAAGCCAGGCCCATGCATTGATGCATAATCCTGTTATTATAATTCCTTTGCGGCCCTAGTATTGGTTTTAAGGATCATGCCCAATGACCTACCACTTCATGATAACCGATGACGCCCATTAACCTATTAAGCATACGGCACACCTCACAATATGAATTTTTGTACCACGTCCTAGCAAGGTCGACAAAAATGTAAGAAAACATCCTACCAGACCGAGAACCATATATATCTCCTGATATAAATTAACTCACCATATCTCCCGATCGAACAACGTCCTTCTTCGACTAAAAAGATACGTACACCTCGTACGTGTATGTGGCTGCATGCAACGACCCGTTTGATCAGTTAGACAACTCAGACTCGTATACAGCTGAGCTGGCCATCTCGCCATTACCTTCGGAACTAAAATAATTTAAAGAGATTTTATTTTTCTTCAAAATTATGCTAATATAAATGGAACAAACTATAAATCATGATAAATCGAGAAACACATTGGTATAGCTTAAATAAATCATAATAAATCGAATTAAAGAAAACAAAGATTATATATATAAGACATAATTCACATAATATATTTATATCTTAGACAAGAAAAAAGAAAAAAAAAAACAAAAAAGAGGTATGTGCGTGATGTGTAGCATAAGAAAGGCATGACATGAGGCAGTTCGAAATAACACTTTCCTTTTTCCCTATTTTTGATGCCCCTTCGCCGCTAATTCCGGGCCCCACGATTAGCCACGTGTCATTTTCACGTCTAGAGACCCCACCCCAGTTCGGTACTCATATGCTCACACAAACCTAACTCCTTATTTATAT